AGGTGAAGACGCCACAGCCGGACCCGCAGGGAGAGGCCACGACACAGGGAAAACCGCAGTGTCCTCCCCACAACTCGGAACCAGGACACCCCCGGCGCAAAGGGGCACATACCGCACCCAGGAAGAACGAGAGGCGAAGCACTGTAGCAAAAATGGCCGCAAAACACCAGCACTGAAACAAACTCCACGGCGCATAACATGCTGGCCGGCCGAACCGCACACCCTCCCTGCGGGAAGCCGCCAGCCACGACTACTGCATGAGAAAACTAGCCAAAAGAGGAAGCAGGAATAATAAAACCGGCCAAAAAGTACAGGAGCCGACAGACGTTCCAATAATGCGGGAAGTAGCGAAAAACCTTCCCCTACCCTCGAGAACACACTAGTCCCGAAGGCGCACCCGACATCAGAAGGCACACAGAACCCCATTGAATGGAGAAACATGACGAAAACATCCACCCACAGGACGGAACCAACCGACTCAAAGGCCAAGGAGCCCACGTACGGCGAGTGAGGAGGAAAGACCCCACTCCGCGTACCCACAAGAGGGGGATAAAAACCCCCCGGGGCCGAGCCGTACCAGAAAACCGGGGCAGCCGTGAAAACACTAATCAAGGGAGCCCACTGGAGGAACAGGCTCAAATGCCCCCGTCACTACCCCGGAAGGGGAATTGCCCGAGTCTCAAAAACCCCGCCCTGAACCTACAGACGGTAAGGAACCGGATGCAGGAAGGGTGATCCAGGGGAAAGACAAGGGGGCATGGATCGAATCGAAGCAACCAACACCCCCAAAACGAACTACAACGGGGCTCCCGGGGAGGAAACCACGAGAACGTTCCCAACGCTCAAGTGCTGCCCGCACCCGCTTTGTTAGCACAACAGGGTAACCAAACTCGCAGGACTCCGGGTCGAAGGTGTCACGGAGCCAAAACAGAGTCACCCAGAGACAAACGGTGAGAGCAACCCTCAAACTCGCTGGAAGCGAGGGGGGACTCTGGTGTCACATCCATCGGACCCGCGCCCCCAGGGTCCCGAGCATTTACTTTAAGAGGACTCGCGCTCAGGTAATCCCAGGCAGGCTACTGCTAACCGGCTACCAAACAACTTTCTAAGAGCTGAACCCCCGGGACGTGTACACTCACAGCGACCTAGCAGGGGTACCACCAGAAAATACTCAGAACACAAGGGACAAGAACGAAGGCAGATAAAGAAAACCCCGCAAGAGGACAGCGGAACAGAGCCGGCCGCTATGATTGGTAAAGACAAGCTGCAAAGTACCCTACGCCCCACCAGTGCAAAAACTCCCCCTTACTCTAAGGCGAACAAGGGACACAGAACACCCGAGCACACAAAGAGCGGCCGAAAGCAGTAAACAGGACCAAGGAAATTGTGGAATGTGGCCCCAAGCCCAGTACTTACAGGGCACCTAGGGAAGGGAACCCTAGGCGCATGCAGCCCGAGTACCGAAGAATCACACACCACACTCTAGGTACAGTGCTGAAACAACCACTGGAGCCGGAGCACATAACCGTTGCCTATAGCATCAGCCGAAGAACTGATGGGTGGCTAGCCGGCGTGGGAGGTCTGGGGCCTCCCGGGGGGGGAGCTGCGCGGTGACGTATGACGTCATACTAGTTTCCTTGTTTTCTGTTAAAGAGTTCTATCCACTAGTTCGGCTTTAGGTAGCAATTTTCACAAGAATAGGGGTTTGTTTTGGAATGATTACCTTTCTGGATGCTTGACCCGGTCGATGGCAGACATAGAATGCTTCCAACCACACAGGGTTTCTATAGGCCATTGCTCCCCTTGCCTCTCTGAGGGGGCCAGGTTCTGGCTCGTAGGCCCTACAACTCCATACACATGACTGATGCCAAAGTCTGACATTAGCATATCAGCCGGTAAAGCTCCGGGGAGCCCCCAGAAAAGTCCACAAATCGTGAGCAACCTTTCCCCCCCCATCATCCTCCTGTCAATGGGACAAACCACGAAAGGCCCGACACCCCTTGTGACCATCTAACTTACACACAAAGTCATGACTCCACCGACCACACAAACATGATTCTGAAGCCACCGCTGGCTCGCAAACTTCCACCACTGCCCTACTACAACAAGAGGAACCCAAAAGTTTGACAACTACAACATGCTGCCTCACCACAGACTTTGCAAGGGACAAAACAGCAATGAAAACTTAACAGCCAGGCCCCTAACACATTCCAACGAGGAAGTGAGCACCATCTGCTGACGTGCAAAGAAAAAAAACAGCGACACCGCATCCCACAGGATCGGCCCAAACACCTTCAACACTGCAGATGACTCACGTCACGCTCAGCAATGGTCCCAAGCGCTTCCACATCCTCGGCAAGCAAATCGGAATACAGCTCCAGGAGGCAGGAAAACTGCAAAACCCAACCAACCAGGCAAGTTCTCAACAACCACTGAAAGGGAGTGAAGCTGCACCACGCCAACATCCCTCTGAAGGGCACGAGCGAACAAACACACTTTCAGGTGCTCAAACTCACCCACACAGTTCAATCTGAACCACTTCACACCACTCAAGAGTGCAACTACAACACAAAGTACCCCAACGATTCCAAGAAAACACAGGGCAGTCCACTAGCCACGACAACTTTCAAACCTCATAACTAACCCAGTAAAGATATGAACACCCAAGCCAGAATTAAGACACATTCATAATACAGGTGTAATCCACGTCTCGCACGAGGTAAGCCGCAATGGCTTCCATCACCTCATGAGGTGGGAGGCAAAAAACCTCCGGAAGGACGGAACCTGCAGGCACACAGAGCCGACACCAATTCCATCTTCTACCAGGAAGGAGGGAAGAAAACTCCCACTCCTTGCAACAGTAAGCCCCGCTTGGAGAATACAACAACCCAGGCGGGGCCCGAGTCAACCCGTCCCCAGCAACCTCCACACCAGGACCCAGGGCAGAGTCATCCTCCAAAGCACCAGCCGGGGCAGCAGGAAGGAAGGGCAACACTGGTCAGTACGTTGCAACAACCTAAATCAACCATGTAATGCCAGCACCCGTATCAAGTCACCGAGTCGCTACAAAACTCCCGGGACTCTGGATCGAAGGTGTCACCGACCCAACAGGCAAACAGATGAAGGTAAAAACGATGAGATTCACCCTGAGACAGGGGGACACAGCAACCCTCAAACTCCCACAAGGCGAGAGGGGGTCGCATCCATTGCACCTCCAGGGGATTTCCCAGGGACCCTTAAGACTGGCAGAACCAGCGCCCAAACTTCTATAAATCCTGAACCCCTGGGACGTGTCCACTCACAGGGGGGGGCCTAGCAGGGGACACCACCAAGAAACAGATTTGCAAATATTACCTTATATATTTATATGGGGAACCAACCAAAGGCAGAAAAGCAAATGAAAAAACCCTCAAGAGGACCACGTACCCAGGTGGAACACAGCCAGTCGCTATAATAGGTGTTAACTACCCCTTACCCCAAGCTAAACAAAGGAGGAAGAAACCCCCAGCATGCTCAGGGCGGTCAATCACCGAGCTGCAAAACACCAGAGCTAGCCCCCAAGGTGACTTGTGGAAGAGGGCACCAAGCCTTAAGGGCACTACTTACAGGGCACTTACGGAACACAACCCTAAACTCGTGCACCAACTATAAAACAACACAAAGCACACCATTGAACACAAGATTCACAAGCTGCAGTCACACAACCAATGCCTAGACCAAAAAACTGAAGTTGTGGGTAGCCGGTGTGAGGGGATCTCGGGCTACCTCCTGGGGGAGCAGCACGCCACGTGGTGACGTAATGTTCGTTTTTCATTTGAAGAGTTTTGTCTGCTTGTTTGACTTTCAGTAGTAGTTTCAACCAGAATAGGGGTTTCTTTTGGGATGCTTACCTCTCTACATGCCAAACCCGGTCAATGGCAAACACACAATGCTCCATAACCACATGTGCAATTCTATAGGCCATTGCTCCTGGTGCCTCTCTGAGGGGGTCAGGTTCTGCTCACCAAACTATACACTAGAGAGTGAAGGGACGACGACGTTCCGGTCCGTCCTGGACCATTCTCAAGTCCATTGAGAATGCCCCATTCTCAATCGACTTGAGAGTGGTCCACAACGGACTGAAACGTCGTCGTCCATTCACTTTCTAGTGTGTAGTTTGGTCAACACATTTCAGCCACTTTATTGTGACTCCTCGTCTGCGGTCAGGTTCTGGCTCGTGGTCTCCCCTAAAATTATGAACTCCATTCACACTGACTGATGCCAAAGTCTAATATATCCGTATCAGTCTGGAAAGCTGAAGGGACTTCCCTCCCCAGAAATTTGCCAAATTTGTTCACTTGTCGACTTCCCTGATAAACTTCTGCTTGTTCGTATGCTGGGCTTATCCAGGAAAGGGGACGGGGGGTGGTTTCGCCAAATGTTTTCATATTTCCCACCACACCACTCTGGCCTCCCAGCTGAGTGAAAAGCAATCTGGTATCATAGTCATAAAAGCCCAGCTTTGATCCCCGGCAGAGACAAAATCAAATGGCCAGAACTTCTTTCATCCTGGTGCTCTGTTCACCTAGCAGTGAATAGGTAGTTGTCAGTTAGACAGCTGCTACAGGCTGCCTCTTGGGGATGTGCACACGTGCTGCCTGTGTAAGAGAAATATATGTAGTACACATATTAGAGGCAAATATACTTGTTACAGAGGTGGGATCCATGAGCTAATAGCGTGTTTTTGCAGATACATATAGTAAATATAAATACATCAAGGAATACAGGATATTCTTTGATAATGTCGTCAAACACAAAAACATTTGGATTTTTCGTTTCATATATATATATATAGAGCTATATCTATATCACTAACAACTCTTTGACCCCTCCAGGAAAACCTCTAAATGTACACAGTACTGTGACCACCGCACCAATAATCGTCGTGTGTGTTTACGTATATTATATACATACGTGCATGCATATATACTTCTTTTAAAGGGCTACAGAAAACAATATTGTGAAGTGTTTAACAACCATTTTATTAAGAACTGACTGGCAGAACAGACTTCAGTACATATGGCACACAACATGGTGACATCATAGTAGTTTTCCTAATGTTTTGACTCATCTCATTTCTGGCTTTCATATCTTTTCTCTCCTTTTCAAATACATATAGTTCACCATCACACAGCATACTTAAAAGGTTTTAGGTGCTTAGATACATATCAATGGCAAAGCCTGTGTATGGTCTGCCATAAACAGTCACAGACTTAAGCAATATGGTCTTGGGTCAATAGTAAGCTTTGGTGACTTATCTGCTGTAAGCAAACCGAGCCGGGGAAAAAACAATAAAATAAATATATATATGTATATACATTATAGTGTCATGTGTCATTGGCTAAGCTTGAAAAAGGCTTGTGCTGCAAGAATGTCTATGTACCCCTTGCCTCCTACAACCTTACTTTCATGTGTGATGGTTAGAAATGCTCCTATGAGTTCGTAGAAAGACAGAGTGTAAGGTAAGCAATTTATATTGAGGAGGCAGTTCTAAAAAAAAAATATTGCATGACTTACCTGCAGTGCATTATTTTGTTTTAAACTATCAACTCTTAAAATTTGGTGTTGTGCAATTGCAAAAGTCCGCTGTGTGTGACCTTACACTCTCTCTTACATATAAGACACAGTTTCCAGATGATATATGAAAGTGATTTATTCACAGGTTGACAAGAATTTGTATACATTTTGTTTGGTTTACGTATAAACATTGACTTTGGTTGCTTTTGTAATGTGATCACCAAATACAAGACCCCCCATGGGATTTATGTACAGCTTCTTTGTATTTTCTACATGAGGAAATTTAGCCTTGTCATGACAACTGCTCATATAATCACAGATAATGGAACAAAAGTCAATATTCAGGAATCACAAAGCAGCTACCTCTTTTTGTCTTCAATTAAATGATTTGCAAGTGTAGAAATAACCAAACTGCCATCATGTTATATGTTCACTTTTTCACATATAATTTTGACCAATAACTTTATGAGTTGGAATATCAAGGCAATTTTATTTGCTTTCCTCGCAGAGTAAGGAAATGTACATCCATAGATATACCAAGTAGATCTTAAAATATTTGGCCAAGTCACAAATAATGAAGCGAGCAGAGAATATCTCCACTTAAGAGTGTGATATATATATATCTTTTTAAAGAATTAGTGATATATTTCAAGTCATAAGGAACAGTTTCCACATCAAAAGCACTGAGCTAGCAGCTTAAGTACTCAAAATGCAAGAATTATTCGCAATAACTTGAGGAAAAACTACATACAGAACACAATGTGGACATTATAAATATTGAACGTGGGTAAGGCTACTTACTCCTGTCTGGCCTAGTTATAATAAAAATAAGACAAACCTGATAGCACTATATATATTTATATATATATATATACTGTACAGAGGTTTCCCTACCATCACAAATTTATTGTTACGAGACTCACATATACACTGTACACTTGACTTGCTCTTCCGTATCAGGCACAAAGGCAACACAGTACACAACGCCATGGGTCACTGGAACATAATGGCAACCTGCATATCAGAGCTTTTATGCTTGCTGCACTACACAAGTCTCCACTTTAAGGATTATTTGCATGTGTCACATCATTTACTTTTAACAAGCATAAACTTACTTAAATTACAATTTCAACTTTACATTTTTGAGGGTTCTTTCATTGGATCAAAATCTTCTTCCGACCATTATAGAAAGACTTTCAAAGCATAAATGGTTATAGAGTATATGTAAATAAGCATGAAGGCAAATGTGGCTCATCAATATCTTCCAGTGGTCCACTGAACTCTTTATTATAATGACGAGCTCAAGGGCAAATAAGGTACGAGTCCTGCAAGGGTTTATAACTCTTTAATGATATGCTCCTCTATATAAACTTAAGGTTTATTAGTAAATAGAGGGAATTATATGAGGAAGTTTCTTGTCATTACCTTCAACTGATGGCAAAGTAAAATCAGTTGCAATAATATACATTTATATGCTCTGGTGACATTTTCACACACTACTATGCCAGTTCTTCTGAGTATTCCCTGGATTGAAGCAAAGTCACACTTTGAACTAAAATATACTTGTGCAGTGACTGTGAAAATATGACTAACTTTAACTTACATATTTGAGGATTATGGAATTCATTAGCAAATACGAGTCCTGTATATTATCTCCACAAGGCTCATATAATGACTATTTTCAGAGATTAACAGCGAGCCACGTGAACATAATATTGCTCGCTCATAACTGCGGAGACTGCCAATTTAATTAGCAGTAACGAGGATTACCTTCCGTCATCTGGGATCAAGATAAATTTGACACTTCTTTAACTTTAATCAATCTTCAACATGTTAAGATTTATCTTGCAGCGTCACGGCCTTCAACATGTGCGATCTGCTCGGTTATCTCTTGACTGGCAAGAATCCACATGGCTGATAAATCTCTTAAACCCACATGTATAAATGAAAGGGGGTACCATATATATTGTAGTAGCTAGTCCTAACTATGATACCATAGTAATTCATCTGAAGGCATTTCAATTACATAATATCTAGTCTATGCAAGTGGAAAACCAGTTACACATTTAAATGTACTTCTAAAGCCTAAATGCACTTCAAATCACAATGTTATTGAAAAGATCATGCCATTTTGTTTGCCATGTAATCAAAGCACAGCCAGAAGCTTCAATAGTCATTTTAGTACATAGTATGTATCTTGACATGGCTCCTTGCCTTGTGTTATGCTATATTGTCCATGAACAGTAATTCCCCCATTTGAAAACAAAATTGATTATGTATTTAATGCACATTTATTAGGTTTTGTCACAATTTTTTGCCCAGAACTATAAAACATTGCAAAAGAATAAAGGTTAACAAAATTCATTTGGAAAGCAATGAGCACTACATATTTGTTCGCCTGACGTGTTGCCCAGAGATCACTGTCAAAATTATTTACCTTCATAATAATCAAAGTAACACTTTACTTATACTGATATATAAAATGTAATATCTTACCTCCATACATTCAGGACAAGAAACAATGCCTTAATCCAAACATGCTGATATATAATGTATGACTAATATTTCATCTCATTCATTTATACAGTACTCCACTTCCAGACCAACAACATGTTTCACATTTGACATTGTTAAAAAAGTTGAGAATGTCTGCCACTCATTTATCACCAGGGTAGAATGAGACTTTATCATTTGCAGTTCTTTGAGCTAGGAGAGAAAGGTCAAAGTAGCATTCTCTGCCAAAGTATATTTGTTCAGGAAGGCTGTTTACACTGAGGTCTCCAATTTTGATAGAAGCAATAAATGGGTAACAGCAGAACTTACACTCCCTGGGTTCACCCATACACTTCACAGTAGCTGTGGTACTTACAATTTTAACAGCTGCACAGATTAAAAAGCACTATATATACTGCGGAGTTTCTTGGCCAGTTAAAAGGCGGAAAATTGAAGTAGGCATCGTCTTCATTCGTATCTGTAAAAGGGGCAACAGATCATTTTACTGTATTATACAGTACTGTACAATACTTTTTGTATCTAACACATATACAGCTACCATTATAGGGTTTATAAAAAAGGTTGTTCTGTATGAAATTTTGTTTTATAAACCAGGGTTAATCATAGAGTGTTTTCAACAAAGAGAGGCAGTTACAATGGGAATAACAAAGAAATCAATGTCAAGTTTATGTGAAGTGCAGAAGTTTAGGCAACTTGGGTATATTATTTATAATATACTTCAAACTCAACCTGTGGTAGAGTTTGAGTTTTTATACTAACACAGTCTGGCCTGTAGCCCACCTACCCTGACACTTGCCTAGTAAATTAAGCTATTCATGCCTACAGGGTTTCATATTCGTCACATCTCTGCCGACCAAGTAATTCGTCGTTTACTTGTCACTCCTCCTCTTTAATGCTTCAACATTTTTTCCGGCCATATTTCTAATATTTGAAGATTGAAGAATCATGACCCTTTGATGTTCGTTGCTCTCTAATTGTGTTTATGACAATTCTTGTTGCCTTTGAAACCTGACCTTCCAGTATATTCCATATGTGCTTTGAGGAAGTCCCAATAGATTTAATGCTTGACTATGGGGGTTTGAAAAGGAAATGTTTTCTAGCTCATATATATTTACATGTCTTGAAAAGGAACGTCTGCACAAATATTCCATATTAGCTATATTAAATTGCTATTTTTTATTTAAATATTTATCTGTCATATTAAACAGCACCTGTGCATCAGCATAGAAGACCCCCCCCCCTTCCATCAAAACCATTGGCATAACAGGCCACCAAACGTGCCCCTCAGATCTACTGAAGAAGGGATCAGTACACACAACTTGTGTTATTATTTTGCTTTCACCATGAGGGTTTGCTTCTGTCACTCACTCACTGTTTTCTGTGTTTTACATTTCCAAATTTAAATTCATTAAATGGCTTAAATATTAAAACACTGAACACTACAAACAAACATTTAAATAATAATGTCAAATGAATACAAAATAAATCTCTCGTGTCTAGCTCAAGATACAAGTGCAAATCTCAAGATGAAAGAGCACGCCTGGCACAGCCACAGAAACATACCTCACCAACTGAAGTAGCTAAAAGGTTTACTATCTTCTCATGTGGAACAGCAACCACCGACTGACTGTTGATATCAATAATGCGATGACCAACTCGAACACCACCACGTTCTGCTATGCCACCTCTTAATAAACTGCAAATCTGTAAAGGTAAATTAAGGATACTTTTATCACATTCTAACGTGTCAATGAAAAATTTATATTACATTTAATTAGATATTTTATTTAATTGAATAAAATCCTCATTCACTTTATAATAACTATGAATATGACTTGACACAGTGTAGTAATTCAGCTGTATATATTTGGTATAATTGTGTTATCAACATCCATCCAATCTTCTTATCTCATCATCATTAAATTGCCTGGAAGAACTTCAATGTACACTATCAGCAATAATGCTTTTAATTCTAAAAATACCTTATCAACAAAATGCATAAAACTTAAACTATGAAATTTTGAAATTAGCAGTAATATTAATAAATCCAAACAATTTTGGTTTTAATGTTTTAGAATGATGTAAGCTTATAAATAAAACTTTGAATTAGTTGAAAGTTATCCATTTCTGCCAGCTCTTGGTATCTTACACATTGGTGCAGCCATGCCTTAACATACATACACAACATTGACCAGACCGCACACCACAAGGTGAAGGGACGACGACGTTTCGGTCCATCCTGGACCAAAACTTTGTCGTCGCTTCACCTTCTAGTGTGTGTGGTTTGGCCAACATTCTTCAGCCACGTTATTGTGACTCATCGCCTGCCTACACACACAACCTCTGAGACCAACACTGACTTACTGGCAGCTGGAACCTGAATCTGGCTCTGTATGAGGCAGCTTCAAGCTCAGAGATCCACGGAAAACCCGCCACAAAAGTTAGGCAAATCAAAATAAATTACTGCTTGAATAAAGAAATAAAATATAAGGAAAATGGAATGCCACAGGTGAACAACCCTAACCTTAATGTGCCTGACCACCACCTCATGGCGACCCAAGTTACCTGCTGCCCCTGCCACCTACTCACTTCATTTATGAGCTGTCAGAATTCAACTTCCAAACAGAAGAAATACACAAAAAACAGATCTATGAAAGAGGATAATTACTAAATACTGTATATGACTAATAAAATAAGACTTCCATTAACTGAAAACACACATACCAAATCATAAGACAATTAATACTTACTACACCATTTTGTACAGAGAATCCTAGTTGGTATTTTGTGTCGGGTCTTCGGATCTTCACCTCAACCACAGGCGGGCAAGGAACTACAGTCAGCTTCACTGCAGTATTATATTTGGTATTCTGAAATATAAAAGTGAGTTTTGCCTAAGGAATGTGATTTAATTTCTATCTACTGGATAATACAATGCTTCCTAGGGTCATTTATTACATCAGTAGGCCCTCCTTTGATACCAAGTCACAGTGTACTTGTGTCTTCTTATCATCAGTTCAGTAAAGCAGTATACTTGGTATCTTTGCATTGACACTGTTAATCTGATACTAAATTGAATGCCCATCAAAATTTAATGTCAGGCCATGTGGTGTGACATCCATGTGTTTAAATACAGTACTGGTAAGTAGTGTATTAACAAATACAACACACGTACAGTGGTACCTTCGTTTATAAATTTAATCTGTTCCCAGAAATGGCTCGTAACCCCGAAACAAATTTCCCCATAAGAAATACTGAAAATTGAAAAAGGTTATTAAAAAGGTCAATGCAATGGTCTGCTACAGCTTTATCTGGGCAAGTCTTTTCAGCAAAACTTTGCAGTTCTTCCCATACTTCACACATTTTCTTAATGAGGACGGTACGTCCTCTACTCACCACTATTTTCTTAGTTTGAACTTTATCACTGACTTTCTTGGGACCCATGGCATGATATATAATAATTACTTTTTATGTTTAGAAACCAAAAAAGCTGAAAAACAATTAAATTCTTTACAAAGAATTCAAGCACGATCGGTCACTATGCAGGAGGTTAAATTGAGGTGCGGTCGCCCATTCCACCAGGAACCACGCGTTCGGTCGACCCACACGTGTATCGACAAACTCCCAACTCAAGCAAAAGCTCGTAAACCAAATCAAATTTTACAAAGAAACTGAGCTAGTAATCTGAAAAATTCATAACTATTGTAGGGGGCATTCCTAAGCTGAGGTTCCACTGTACTAGTCAATAGTGTGCTGCTAAGTCATATTACAGATAAAATTGGTGTTATCTTTTTTAAGTACAAATGTGTTAATGTGAGAAAGTAAACATTTTAAGAGAGATTATTAGTTTGTCCTCAACTGATATCCCAGATCACAACATTTGAGGCAACAGGTAGGAAGAGGTACCAGACGAATAAAACCAACAGACAATGAAAACAGCCACAACTCTATTTACCAGGATGAAGAGGAGAAGAATGCCTAAAAATAACCAGACACCAACTCAGTCAAATGCCAGAGAGTACACAAACACAGTGGCCTTCCTACCAGGCCTCAGATATTAACACCAAGTAAAGCATCTAGCACTTCTGCAAACACGATAACATCATTTTTATTTGCCAACATCCAGGGTATAAAAACACGCAAATCTAACAAAGTTCATGTTATAGCTGGCCGCCTACATGAGGCAAATGCAGTGTTTGCAGCCCTAACGGAAACCCACACAAAGGACTACTATGATGGTGAAGTATGGATTTCCGAGTACAATCTTTTCAGATGTGACAGGAAACACAGGCTACAGGATGGGGGTCAGCCTGTACATCAAAGACACCCTCCTCTGCACTGAGTTGCTAAACACCACAAACTATATGGTAGAATGCAGATAATCAAAATAGACATACTAAATGTAGTTATTGTCCTTGTACATAAGTCACCAGAGGTAAATCCTCAGCAGATTAAAAAGACCAACTAATGAAAATAAAACACTGCTTAGAATACCTCACAAATCCTCAAATAGAGTAAAAATATTGTATAAATTACTGTACAGTATTTTCCAGGACGAAGCATTATTACAACATTCAGTTCAAGCTTGAAGTGGCAGTACAATACAGTATAGACAAAAAGATCATGGTAATAGGAAAGCTGTGCTTTAAAATCACATCAAACTTATAAAGAACACCTCCAATGTTTATAAAGAAACATACCATTAGTATTTTTTCACACAAAATATCCTTTGTATAATAGGGGTGCATCTTGAGTGCGAGTGCATGTTTAATGCAGAAAAATGTGCTCTCTATGTCAGTAGTCATGTGATATTGTGTGGGTGCACACTGCCAGCATGCACTGGGAGAACGGAAGGCCATGTGTGGGGGAAAGCAGCAAGAATAATGATATATAATTAGCATACTTTTTACATGTCTTGAATACAGACACCTTAAACAACAGCATTTTCTTTTCTTCTGCAAAGTAGATGAGCATTTTTGCTTTAGTGCATAATATAGTGTGATGAGAAGCTGTGTACCTTAAAGGAAACATTTGGAATAAACATAATATTAAATCACAAAACCCACAATGAAATCACAAGAACATTATATATGAGAACATATTGAGGCTGTACAATGGCATTAAACCCACAACTCTGGACATCCACAACTGGTAGTGTGTATACCTGAGGAGTCGAAGGATGCGAGTTCGACTGCATCGTGCGACCTCAATATTTTCTCATTTAACAATTTATTCTCACCTTTATATAATTCTGGCAGGTTGAAAGTGGAAGACCCACTAGTGACACACCATTAATAGCAATTATTTGGTCGCCAATATTGAGCTGGCCACACTTGGCGGCAGCACCGGTCGGGGAGAGGTTAGCTATTACCACGGTCGGGACCATAGATCCCCATCCTGATTCCACAACAACAACACCCAGGATCTCACTCTTCATCTTTGGTACCACCACCTGAAATAAACAGTTATCTATTTAGCAAAGCAACATATAGAACAAATCAAATCTACTCTAAAAAAAAATCTGTGGGTGCACAACTACAGCCTTACACAAAAGCCTCACCATAAGCAGGTGTACTAATGGTGTCAAACAGGTGGCAACGCATAAAAAGCAACTCAAGAGCTTCGTGATACATACACATATCTGGCAAGAACTGGCATTCTACCACCATCACTTCAGTCTCTACTGATCGTGACGGTGCATAGTCACAGAAACCGCTCACTATACAAAATCTAAAAAAAAATTGTTTCATCAGGTATACCTCTAATCATTTTTTTTTTGTATATTTCTGAGACATGAAGGTTTGATATTAGGTTACTAAATTAGTGTACCTAAGCACAGTAGCTTTGCACAAGTTTAAAATATTTAAATGAATGAAATTCATTTACCAAACGTGCAAATTCAAATCTTATTCTTTCCTCTCAAAAGGATTGTTTTATTACTTACCGTTTTTGAGACATATAGCTCCTGTGTACGACGTGGGCATGTGGACGGTGTGGGTGGGGCGGCAGAAAAGATTTAAAATGCCCATTAGAATACACTTCTCATGGATGACTAATGACCACATTTTGAAAATGATTGGTCAAAGGATTGGGCATGTGGGCACGGTGGGCGGTCAAGTTTTAATTTTCATTTGATGAAACATGTGCTAAGTTCTGAAGTTTCAAGTAAATGGCTCATTCATTCTTGACAAATATAATGGACAAAACCTCGTGCACAAAACCGATAGTGAACTTAAATAAGCTCTGCATCAACGAAATTTACTATCTTACAACTTCACTGCCTCCATTATCCATATTTGAAGTTTACTTGAGCACAATCTTGCTGCATTCATAACTAAATACTTAACAAAATAATAAGAAAAAAGTGGGCCGAGACTAGTGAAACACACTTTTCAGCTGGTCTCTCAGATGCTCCTTACGCCGGAGCCATTATGGTGCATCTACAATTCGTACTGTGCCGTGCTAAGCTCTTGTTGATCTTGTTCCCCATTTTGATAGGGATATCAAAGTCTAGTCTAGAAAATTAAAGGAGCAACAGCAGCAAGTCTTAACTCCAACAACAACCTAGGGACCAGCTCACTGAAATATAAAGAGAGTAAGCAATACCCTTAACACCCCCTGCAGGCTATAGTCAAAAACACAGGGACTGTCAGTTATTGGTCTTAAATTCTAGGTCAAAATAATCTAGTGTCAATGACAAGCGTGTACTAGGGCTTATTGAGGTCCTAGGCCAACTACTGACCTTCCCCAGGATGCCATCTGCTGGCTCAGTGGTAACACACTCGCCCTAATACCAAAGCCTCGTCAGCGATGTGTCTAGGTTGCTTTCTGTTCACACAGTAGTAATTGTGTACCTGGTTGTTTCCAACTGGCAGGTCATGCTGCAGGGGAAACTAATGGGTTGTTGCACACCAACAGCCCCATTTAGAGCCAGAGAAACTGCTGACCGTCCAAAGATCCTTTACCGCTAGAATCCACTCTATAAGTCATCTTAATCATTGGGACCGATTAAAAGCTCTAAATGTCTTTTCTCTAGAGCACAGGCGAGAGATACATACATAATAATTTACACATGGAAAATATTAAAGGAACTGGTTCCAAATCTGAACATGGAGATCACATCACATGAAACCAGCAGGCATGGCAGGAAGTACAAAATAGTCCACACTTTTGCCACCACATATCGGTGGGTAGCTAGAACTAGGGCGTTTGACGTCACTGCTGGGTGGATTGTTTGGTGGCTCTTTTTGTTACTTTGCTTTCTGTGAATCTTGTAGTAATTTGTTTTGTTTACTTTCTGGATGTTTCCTTGGTGAGGGTGACGGTAACAACGCTCCTCTGTGAGGAGGCCAAGGTTCTGGCTCTAGTAGGCCGTTAAAGACTCCTATGGCTGATGTGACTCGCGTGTGTAAAGGTATCCCAGCGCGTTTCCTGTAGGAAGCCACCATTCAGTCTCTCTAAAATACTACACTGAAGTGAATAATGAAGCATGCAAATCCCCTGAATTGAAAAGAAGAGTCCACAGAAAAAACTGGAGAGAAACTTATCTTAATGGTGGCTGCAGAGTCAATCATAGGACATGGCAGATGCTTGGCATAAAGTGGGGGTTGGCAGCTCAGACTACTTTGTTAAACTAAGGAGGTGGGTGTTGCTGCCAAACTTTTGTGTTTGAATTAGTATTCAGCAAAGCAATAATTGCCATTCCCAAGGTTCCTGATTATTGCTTGCAGGGGGGGGGGGCATTATGAATATGGCTTGTGCTTTTGTATTACAGTGAGCTGGTCCCTCTGTGGTGGCTTGACATAGATTTGCCACTATCTCACTTTCCTAATTGTTATGTTTTGACAGGTCAATTTGCAAAACGCCTCATAAAGCTTCAGTAGAAAGTCAACAAAAGCCTAGTGGGGCACACGAGTCCCAGGTGGATCCTAATGGCTCTGGTTCAGGAAGAATCTGAGAGATCTTTGCTCAGAAATATGTACACACTATTCTGTATTTCTGGTGCATTAACAAATAATTTGGAATGTTCTGAATATTCTATTAATCAAAGTGTTTAAAACACAATTTGTAATGTGAACATAAATATTTAAAGCATGATCTACTTTTATTTAAATATTACTTATTCATAAACACAATATCCACTTTCATGTGGTAGGGAGACATCAGCGCAGAAAAGATAGGAGAGAAACACCTTCACTGACTCTTACATACCACATACTGCTGCATCATGCAAGATGAACACCGTCTCACTCTAGCAAAACATTCACCGCTTGCACAACAGAGTAGATGTAAGTGCTTTCCCATAGGTTGTCATTCATAAATGTTTTAAATACTTTACAGTATTTATTTCTTAGCAAACTAATTCCAACTAACCTTAACCCTTAAATTGTGGTTATTACCTCACATTGATCCCCGGGGTAATGCTATTATCATTATATGTTGTCTTTAGTTACCATTAGGAGGCCTGGTCGACGACCGGGCCGCGGGGAAGCTAAGCCCCCAAAAACACCTCAAGGCAAGATGACCATCACCATGTTTTTATATAAATGGTGTAAATATGATTATTATACATCTGTATGGATGTAATGGAGTCAACCTAGTTCAATGAAAACAAATCTGCTATTCTTTTATTTGCTTAACATAGATGAAGTTATCGTGTCCCAGCAGCAAGGCAATTGTCAAATCACTGTGGCATTTCCTTTTTAGTCTCCGAGTCTCTCTCCCACTTGTAATCTTTGGATTTTATCTTTCAATGGCAATTTTCTTTTTATGATTTTATAGCACAGACCAGGCTGTTTTACATTTGTCTGTATTTTCCTTCTCAGTTTCTTTTTGTCTCACTTCTCACTGCTGTATAATTGTGGATGGGCATGTGTAGGTTTAAGTTTTAGCTGCATTTAACTGACCAACCACTTTTAGGACTTGGCTTTTACTGTTATTTCAGACACGGTTTCATTTTACTCCATCTTTACACATTCTACATTCACTTTCAGCAGTCTTCTCTCAAACTTTCAGTATCTTGAGGTGGTTCAAGAGTCAATGTTCCCAGCCCAGTGCTCTCTGACCACGACTCAACTACTATGTATCTCTTAAAAATTTTTGCAACAAAAACGGCATCATTTGCATATATCAAATACGATATACAGTACAGTACTCCATTTATCATACATGTATTCTAATTGATTTTTTTTTTACCTTACTTCACTCATGTTCCATCCATATATCTTGAGGGTATCTGGAGATAATTTCAGGGCTTAGCGTCCCTGCGGCCCGATCCTCGACCAGGCCTCCTTTTTGTTACACATCCCCAGGAAGCAGCCCGTAACAGCTGTCTAACTCCCAGGTACCTATTTACTGCTAGGTTTACAGTGGGCATCAGGGTAAAGAAACTCTGCCCATTTGTTTCTGCCTCCACCGGGGATCGAACCCGGAACCTTAGGACTACGAATCCCGAGCACTGTCCCACTCGGCTGTCAGGCCCCTTTCTATATATTGCATACAGTGAACAACCATGGGGCTAATTCACAACCCCGGTATACTCCTACATTAATGTCACTCAAAACATCATTACCTTTCATGCATGCATCAAAACTCATCACCATGTTTAATAACATTCCATCAACTCCATACATGCTCATTGCTCTCCAGGAAATATATGATGATCATTAACAATGCAGCCAGAATAACTACAAATATATATATCTTTTCAAATTCTTATAAACATTCCAGTCAACAACAATGAAAAAAAAAGGTGCTTCAATATTCTATACTGTACTAGCTTTTGGTATAAACAGCAAAAAATAAATAAAACTTGCTACAATTTTGTTTGTTTATGAGAGCATGAGGCAAGGTTAGTGGATAACGGAGGCGGTGTTGGCATTACCTTGCTACCTACCCCACACGAGTCTCCACCTGCTCACTATCAGTCTGCATGTGCTAGTATCTCAGGGCTGGCATTTAGCGGGTTCATATCTCCATTATACATAACATCAGATTTGCAAGACGCGGTTTTTTTAATCTAACTATAAAACCAATATATTTTAATCCTTATATATACAGAGTATATACATATATACAGTATGTGAAATGGCAATAAAAAAAATTTGTTTTAATAAAATTATAATTATCTGATATTATGCATAGTTAAGATTTTAGTGGGAGGAGAGCCAAATAATTCAAATATTGGTGCAATTTAATCATTCATTTCTACAAGTCATGTGTGACATAATCAGTCAATTTGAGCATAAGATGAATAATGTATTATTTATACAATTCCAGAAAAAAACAGGCTATAACAACATTTAACCTTATGTCTCAAAGCTGATGACAGTGTCACACACAAAAATTTAGTACAAATATAATGGTTTATAACAAGCGTACCTCCTTCTGTAGTTCTTTCTTGGCAAACATCTGAAGCTCGTCACCAAAAATTTCTTGAGAGTTAAGGACTTCTTGATAGTCCATCTCTTTGACAAAGCTATGATCTTCAATTCCATTAGCCTTCAAAAATTCTAGGTATGCAACTTGGAAAGCCTGACCAATGCTCTGTGCTATAAATTGTGCCTGCAAAGACAATATTTTTTTCTATATATCTATTAACAAATATGAATTCCAGATGAAAATAAATTAATTAAAATTAGCCAGATGATAAATGCCACAACAAATTTTGATCGTAAAATTACAGGTGAATGGAAAAGGAAATTGTCTATCCCATCATAATTATATAAACATAATTGCTTTGTATAATAAAAATCCTCTTTCCAGGCAGTTATAAGTAAGTAGCTTCCCTCTGCTTACGGCACTGATCCAACTGGGTAACCTTACACATACAGTATTATGTTACTGTGACCATCTCTCCTCACTGGCAATGAATACAATTCCAGTGATTCTGTATTCTCTCTTCAAAGGAGAAGCAAAATGGGATAAAAACCAGGACAGTGACCAAACAGACTCTTGGAAATGATATAACATTTCCAGCAGCATAGAATCCATCAACCCTAGTGAAAAGACATGAATCGAACTACTCGAGCAAAACGTCCAATACTGGCTTGGCTAACAACACGGCAGGGGGCACCATCAACAGCCAGAACAGTCAGCTCCAACTGCAACTGTAGGGCAAGGAGTTCCAGAGCAAAAAGTGTATGCATGCCTCATGCTTGACCGAGACAAATGCTGCAGGAACATGGGCGTATACCTGCCATGCCCCAACCTCACAGAACAGGGCAGGCACAAACAACACCCTGTATCATGGAATGAGGACCTCACTAGAGCACACTAAACACTGTGGAGGCCCAATTCTGATCCCAGATATGGAAACAAAAGAGTAACCACTTTTTCCAAGGGAAACAATTGTGTCTGTTAGTAAGGAGAATACTAGAATCTTATACTGCAACCAGGATGATGCATCAGACTCATAATCAAAGACATCAGGGGGGTCTAGTTCAGAAACATAGTTACAACCTTGTAGTAAATAGAGCAGAAAGTCTCATCTAGCACTGTAAGTAAATGCATTATCTTGAGATAATTTCGGGGCTTAGTGTCCCCGCGGCCTGGTCCTCGACCAGGCCTCCACCCCCAAGAAGCAGCTCATGACAGCTGACTAACACCCAGGTACCTATTTTACTGCTAGGTAACAGGGGCATAGGGTGAAAGAAACTCTGCCCATTGTTTCTCGCCGGCGCCCGATATCGAACCCAGGATCACAAGTCCAGCGTGCTGTCCGCTCGGCCGACTGGCTCCCTGATATTCTTAAAAAGCTAAAGTGTACCAAGTCCATGAAAGTGGTGGGCCTCACTGACAACAACTTTAGATCAATATCAATTCTGCTCACCGTGTCCAAATTACTTAAGAAGCTAATTTACATATTTTGTTACTACCTAGAGAAAGACAGTACTAGTATACTGAATTCTTGTCATCATGGCTTCACACCCTAAATAAGCACTAATGATGCTTTAAGTAATATGCTTGACATGCTACTTTACAAAGAGAGAGTACCCCATAGGTCTATTTGTTAACCTGCTTAAGACAGTTGACACAGTTAACCACAATAACCTTCTTCTCAAACTGCACCACTATGGAATCGGGGCTCACTCCCTACAATACTTTCAATCTTACCTCAGTGACAGGCATCAGTGTGTTTCTGCGAATGATCCTATTTAGGTGCCCCAAATCAGTCCCAACCATAGATGTGAATTTGAAAGCATCAACTGGGACTTTGAAAAGTACACAAGAAAGTCAAATAAACGACTGGGTGTCCAGGCGTTGCTTAGGTAGGATGGCAGAGAGTTGCTAACAGTGAAAGACCAGCTCTGAGACACCAGAAGTGAAATGCTAGTTGTGAGAGGCCAGCATTGAGAGGTTAGCAAAGATGGACAAGCACTGGAAGACAAAAAGAGGGCTTATAGAACACAAAACAAAATGAGTCTCAAACTATAGTACCTTACTGCAGTACTTATGTACATGAAAACTGCCGATTAAAAAATCTAATGTAAAATGATGGCTATTTAACTTTAGTAAACTTTGATGTAAACATCAGGAGAAAATACTATTTTGGCAATGGCCTGGGATATCACACTGCCGTCATAAAACATACCTCGTCACTTTCAAATACATGGCAGATCATCTTGGGAGTCTTCTGAATGTTGTTACCAGCATCATCAGTCGGCAAGACTCTCCTTCGTGCCATAAGAACAACCAGGTCACCAATGTCGGCAATGTAGGAGATGGTACGAAGCGCATGGTCCATCATTATCTCCTGAAATGAAACATATCGATGATCTCTGTCAAAAAGTTCAGACAGTGGGATAAAGGTTACTGCATTACTAAGATCCTGCTCAGGTCAGAAACAGCAGATACTTGTCTAGCCCGCAGTGTAAGTTACATGCTTAACAGTGTGGTAATAAATGCCTGTGTAGTCAAGCCATACTATTAGTAAACTGTTTAACTAAGAGCCAAGAGGAGTTTGTTCCGCCAAGTATAATAGTTATGTCTTTAACCGAGATAAAGTTTGCTTGCTTAAGCATCAGTATAATCTATTTATTTTAGTATAATAGTTATTTGACTTACTATACTAAAAAAAATTGCTACCGGTATGTATATGCTTAGCTGAACAGAATACACATACTGTAGCTATATGATTAACTTCACCATTAGCTGCTTGTTTAGCTGAGAAAAAAAACATTTGCTCGTTTGAATCTTTGGATGCAAGGGCCGACACATCCACTTTCATAGAAAACTTCCTCTGTATACTGCGGTGGCCAACTAATGTATTGTGGCCTTCAAAATTACAAATAAACGTGACAGTGCACACTGCAACTTGCGCGTCACTGCCCAAATCACTGGGTTCGAATCTACGTCTGAGAGGATCTCGGATGCGTCTTAATCGACTGTGCCACGACTGTGTCGTGGCACAGTCGATTAAGGCGCATCTGGGATCCTCTCAGATGTAGGTTTGAACCCTCATCACAGCCCTTGTATATTTGTTCAGCCCTTTGGTTTCCGCCTCCACCGGGGATCGAACAAGGACTACGAATCCTGAGCGCTGTCCACTCAGCTGTCAGGCCATCGCTATACTGTAGACGGTTGATGATGATGCTGCTGCTGCTTTCGTATTTATTCTAACTTTTACTCTCCCCTCTCTAGATTCTTGTCCTTATAACAATATATAACATATTACACACTTCTTGGGAGGCACATGATATTGTTCCTACAGTATTTTTGTTTGGTACACACAATGATAGAAATAAAAATTTAACAAAGGGTTATTTGGCTGTGTTTTCACCTACAACTGTACACTAAATTCATCGATGATGTCTCTATGATGATATTTTATGGTTTGGTAACACTTTCAGCTTGGCACAGTCGAGTTAGCTGGGTCATCCTTACATCATAGAAAGGAGACAAATTCTTTTAAATTTCATTATTTTTTGTTATAAAGTATGACACATTATTGTAAAGGAACTTTAATGCTAGATATGAAGAAACATTTTTCTCTTATTAGATATGTAGTACAAAAAAGAGGAAAAAATAATTTTGAGCTCGAAGGGATTAAATGAAAAGCAAAAGTTGCCTGTTGAATCTGTTAACATTTGTTATTTGTTTAGCTCAAGATAATACAGTAATTATAATTTGAACTGAGAAACAAAAGTTACTGGTTTAGCCATGTACAATATATTGGTTAATTGTTAAACTGAAAACAACAAACAAGAACAGATGTATTAGAAGTGTGTGTGGATTAGATTAGAATAGCATCAGAGTGGATCAAGAAGTATAGCAACATTTATTTTAAATAGAGAACATTTTATCTAAGATTATATATAGGCTTCCTAATTTCTATGATATTTTAATGTTTGTGTATATGAACATCTACATTAAGAGTGTGGACAAAAAATAAAACAAGGCGGGAAGTACTTACTTTTAGATCTGTATTGAGCACCATAATCTTTTCTGTTGAGATAAAGAGGTCCACTTCTGTGCTAGGCTGTGACTCACCATCTGGGGCCTGAACCATGAAACTTGTGTCATTAACATCATATGCACCTAGTCAAACATATACTGTACGGAATCATTGGATATTTTATAAATTCATTACTGTTTATACTTTTAGTAAGGTCAGCCAGTATGTATTTGATTTCACACTATTGAAGACAGGAAGCCTATTAGACTTATCAACGTGCCCTTCAGCCAATGGCCGACCTTCCCCGGGATGGAACTACGAATCACTTGTGTGACATCCGTGTGATCACAGGCATCACATGTTAGGATGTGTTCCCAAATGTTTACTCCTGCTTGCAAATTAAAACAGGGACTATTTAAATGTGAACCCACTATGCTGTTAATGATAATGTTTATATATACTGTACAGTACATATATTACCTAATATATTACCAAATAATACATTACCAAAACTAAAAATTGTGCTCAAAACATTCAATTACATGAAGGGACGCTAAAGAAACTACACTTTACTGTATCATGTAATAATTCTACATATACAAGTACAGTAAACCTAAAAAATACAGAATAGATTATATTATATATATAATATCATATTATATGTGGTAGATTTGGTGGAGATGTGCATAAGGATAAGCTACAGAGGTGTAAGTGATGCAGAGTTTTGAGAGTAGGGAAGCACCAAATAATACAGTATATATGACTGTAAGGATACAACTAGTGGAAGTGCATCCTTCACTGATAGTGTGACAATGGGAGCCAGGCAAGGCAAATACACCATACCAGTTACGAGAATAACTTGGCTCATACACTGCTACTTAAATGAATTAAACAAACAAACACGAGACAGAGATACGGACAAAAAAATTTTCCTATGGAAAATCTTAAGAGCAACTCTTAAGAGACATGCACACAAAAACAAAACAAAACAAAAAACTTTAAATTATAACCATCACTAATGTGGTGCATTATGCTGTTCTGCTTACCATCACTCTCTACAAATAAAATAACAAAGCATTTACATACAGTATTTAACAAATAAAATTCTTATACATATTAAATATGTTAACCATCAATGCTAAAAAATATAAATAAATAAAAAACAATATGGTACCAAAGTACCGTCACCTCCATGCAACCGGTGCTCCAGCGTGTTCTAAACACAACAACGATACACTAAAAAGCTTACAATATTGCACCAGTATATTGTGCAGTGCATAAGTTGCCAGCTTCTTATGCACCCACAACTTAATACAACATATGAAATTGTCTAACCAAATGTTCCTTTGTACTTTTAAGAGCACTACCGTAAACATGGTCAATGATCGGTAGATGTGCTCTCTCAAAATGAAGACAATTATTAAGTCTACTATGGGTTCACCATAGACATATGAAATTGTCTAACCAAATGTTCTTTATACTTTTAAGAACACTACCGTTAACATGGTCAAAGATCGGTACTTGTGCTCTCTCAAAATGAAGACAATTATTAAGTCTACTATGGGTTCACCGTAGCCCGTGCTACTTGCAACTTTTGTTCGGAGTAGCCGAATTTTAAGCAACAGAAAATTATTAGATAAATAGAAGAATTACAAGGGATGAATTGCTTATTTAATAATATTTTTTTTTTCAAGTGTCAATTGTTATAAAATAGGAACACTATGGGTAGTTAATCCAATGTTGAATAGATCTCATTGCAACTCTAAAAAGGCATTCAAAATGCAACTCTAACAGCCACTTACCAATGCCTACACCGCAGCAGCCAAGGGAAGAACAGATATATATTAGGTTAGTGCATTTTAGAATATGTATTTAATTATAATGCCCATTATCCTCTATAACTACAGATATAGCTAATAATACGTCACTGAGATATAAATTGTCTGCAAATGAAACAGCCCTTACCCATACTGTAGTCAAGACACAATAACGAATCAACCAGCTACAAAAAATGCACTAACCAAGCCAGTCTTAAAAAAAAAAATTACATAAGTAGTTCAATAAGAAAGCTTCATGGATTATGTGACAATTTTGCAAACATTTATTCCAGCTCCATAAACTATGTATTGCTAAAATCTACCACAAAATAGCATTAAGGATTAGCCTGTTTATATCAATGCATTAACATTACACTTTAATTACACAGACCAATTACCATTTAAATGGAAAGAAACACAACTAACCACACTCTAATCAAAGGCTGTAAACATTGTATTAACACCCTTAAAATCTGTTTGCAGTTCAAAGCACATATGCTCTTTATCCTTAGAACGTAGACCTGAAACATTTTCTTGCATGAAGTCTGAAACTATTTGTAAAAGCAATCCTGCTTGGAAAATACTGTATTAATGCAGAAATAATTTTTTTTTACTTTTATTGTAACTTAAAAATCAGCCTTGATTTAATAAGACTGTTTCTAAATATGTAAAGCTCCTGTCTAAAGCAGAACACTTGGATGCTTCCTTGGGCCACGTCCCGCTGTTTCTATGAATAGGACTGCACGGTCCGGGAAGGTCAACATTGGTACAACAGATATCTTTCCAAACACTGCAGTTGAATAATATTAATGCAAGCGAGATACAGAGGAAACCTGAACTTTATCTGGAAAACCTCCAGATGATTCATTCATATACAGTACTGTGCACTCAAAACTCTTACTAGTTGCTATTAGGTAATCCTAATCTGTGCTCTATTCTAATCAATTCTAGTAAATTGCTAATTAGTCAATCCAGCTGCTACCCTAAAGACCAAAATCTAATGGCTGCACTGGTGTGTAAACTGGGCTTCCTACCATGGATCATTTCACTTTTTACCTGAAAAACCATTCTATGAAGCAAAGGAGAAGCAGGAATAGAAGATAGGGGACAGGCACAATTGTGTGACCTACTCACAGCCTGCAACAAGGCAGCCCACTTCACACCCAAGCAACCGAGCAGTTGGATCAAACATGGCCAAAGCCCACGCATGGTAGAATGACCAGCCGGAAGGGTAGAAATGAGGAAGGCAAAATCAGGGAACCCTGTTCACATGTTGGTGCTGCCATCTGGTGGTGGTTGGGGCCTCAGTTGGCAGGAGAACTAGCTATTAGCAAGAGCACACCTTTGTGATGCTAAGTAGCATTTGGAAAGGCTTTGAGTATTTTACTCTATAGCATATGAATGACTCGCCTCAAAGTTATTTAAGGCAGGATTAAGTATCCTCAAGTGTCTCTCTTGCACTAGTGTAGCCCAACATGATATTTAAAAAGATCCCTATTGTGTCAGAGCTGGATACAAAATGTCAGCCAGTTCCAACTGAGCATAACCCAATCTACAGAATCAGCAGGGGGCCACTTATGCAAGCGGCCAAGTGGTGTGGTTCAGAAAACAAAAACTAGCACTGGTATAATACATTGTACATGAACTAAACACTCTCACCATGTTACTCTTTCTGTAAAAAGTACTGGATCACAGTTGCCATACCTATGATAACATGTCCTATTCTGTATGTTAAAATTCAGACTAACAACTAACCTCTCAATATACCTTAGTATACAAGTTTCTTAACCAGAAACTTTAATTATATCAATATATATAGTACTGCATCAACTTTTTTTTTAGTATAGTGTGTGCATTTAATTATGATGATCAATTACAGTTTTAAGTTATCAGGCCACTGTTAACATACCACAAACATATACCTCCTATCCCTCATGAAATTTCACCACCGTCAAATGCTATTTTCCCCTAGAATGGGTGTTTCCTTATATGAGTGTGGCATTTAAAGGTTAAGTAAATATAAATAAATTGAACCCCCACCTCAAAATACAAACCTCATACACACCCACAAAACACAAACCACATTCAAACACACACAAACCTCATACTCACATTCCCCCCCCCTCCTCCCACACACACACACACACACACACACACACACATAACCTTCGTTAGACCGAAGTTGGAATATGCAGAGGTTGCCTGGTGCCCATATCTAAAGCAGCACATCAACAAACTGGAAAAAGTGCAAAGACATGCCACTAAGTGGCTCCCAGAACTGAAGGACAAGAGCTACAAGGAGAGGTTAGAGGCATTAAATATGCCAAAACTAGAAGATAGAAGAAAGAGAGGCGATATGATTGCTAGGTACAAAACAGTAACAAGAATTGCTAAAATTAATAGGGCAGAATTCCTGGAACGTCAAGAAAAAGAAGTCATATACTGTATTTAAACTAACTAAACACAGATGCCGAAGAAATATAAGAAAATTCACTTTCGCAAACAGAGTGGTAGACGGTTGGAACAAGTTAGGTGAGAAGGTAGTGGAGGCCAAGAACGTCAGTAGTTTCAAAGCGTTATATGACAAAGAGTGCTGGGAAGACGGGACACCACGAGAGTCGCTCTCATCCTGTAACTACACTTGTACACTTAGGTAATTATACACTCACACCTGTCTGTTTTTGAGACCTACACAAGTCACAGGAGTTTCAGAAAATATTTACATTGTCAAGAGTGTAGTGGAGGGCAAGTGACGTAAAAAAAAGTGGAGTCCCAAAGTATCATAATTAAGTACTGTACACAGAGAATGGTAGTAGGGGGTCGAGAGGAACAACTATTGGAAACAAATGAGAAAAATCAGAGATAAATGAGGGTTGGTGAATGGAAGAAGATGGATCCAAAACAACAACGATGATGATGATGATATCAGTAAGCATAACAGTATCTTGGAGAACACAGTATGATAATTTCATGGACTTTTCTAAGGCAGAAATAAGCACAGGGAAGCATTTTTGTTGGGTCAGCAAAAGTGGAAGAGATGCTAAAAAATCATTAGGGAAAACTAACATTTGGGAAGGCAAATGAAGAACTAAATAAAAAAAAACAAATTCTTTTGGAGGAAATCATTTTGGAAAGCGATAAGACAGTCATTAGCCTATCAGGTACTTTAATGATACAGGAAGTAGTTATGAGGATAAATGTTGCTGCAATCCAGTCTCTGACCAAGGGCCAGATTCACCAAGCAGTTACCCAAGTACTTACAAACGTGTACATCTTGCCTCAATCTTTGACGGCTTTGGTTACATTTATTTAACAGTTTACAAGCATGACAACTTCCCAATCAACTGTTGTTATTGTTATAAACAGCTTCCTGGTGCTTCAGAGCTCATTAACTGTTTAATAATTGTAAATAAAGCTGCCAAAGATTGAGAAAAGATGTACAGGTTCATAAGTGCTTGAATAACTGCTTCGTGAATCTGGTTCCAGGCCTCCTGGTTGGTGGTTTGGTCAACCAGGCTGTTAGATGCAACTGCTCAGTCTGCAGTGTGACTCACAGCTCAGATGATCAGATATTCTTTAGAGATGTTTAGAGGTGTTTATCGAGTTCTCTTTTGAGCACTCTGAAAGGTCAGCTAGTTATACCCTTTGTTTTGAGGGAGAGTGCTGAAAAGTCTTAGGCCTTCATGTTGATAAAATGATGGAGTAGGTTACTAAAAGGTTAGAAAAGTGCAAGAAGGAAATATAAGAAACCTATATGCAAGTAGTCAGAGAAAAAGAACAAAGTGTGTAAGGAAGTCAAGAACAGAAGTGAACAGTTAAGAATAAACAAGAAAATTAGAAAAGAACTACCATCCAGCAGTGGCTTAGCACAAAATACAGTGGATAGAAGTAAGGCCATGATATGCCATGGGTGTAAAGAAAACAAGATACTATTTAGGCTAGACAGAGCCACAGAAGAGGCAGAGATGACTGATAAAGTTTTTGATTAGTACAAGGTCTCACAGACAATGAATCACCAGGCAGCAGTTGGAAAGGAGCTGGAGAACAGAGCCCAGAGGAAGAGGAAGCCTGCCAAAGAGTAAGCCGCATTTCCACAAAATTCATAAAGTGTACTGTGTACTCAAAGAAGGGGATCAACCCATTGACCTCAAGAAGCTTTGTAAACACTGTTCACAAAGCACAAACACGAGTGAGCCATCCGTATACAATAAGCGATGGAGGACAAAGGCGTTGTGGAATAAAATCCAGGAAAAGCCCAAGCAGAAAAAAAAGTGAACCAAAATCTGGTGAAGTCAATACAGCTCATACTGACAATCCAGGCAATGACAAAAAGGAGAGTACAGCACTGGAGGAAACAAAACAATGCCTGGGACCAAAACCAGCCCACAGGGGGACACTACAAGGGTAAAAAGTCAAGCTTTTAATCAACCACTCTACCAACAGCTGAGAAATCTGGGGGCCACACCAACACTAGACAGAGATGAGCCTGCATGCAGAGCAACCTCTGGCTACCCATCCACATTGAGCTGGGAAAGAATGTCCGCAAGTCTGCAATCCCTGGCTTGCAGACATGAGAACTGGCTGGGAGCCCAAACCATCCAGATGTTGAGGTAGGCCAAAATACAGACATCTAAAAAGATACTGCTGTGTAAAAAATTAATCAGACTAACTTGGGAAGAACCAAGGAGCCATGCCAACAAAATGAGAAACCAAAATCAATATGCCTGTAGCTTCGCAACACACACTAACCAGTCCTTGAACCTCAAATGAAAGAGGGTGTGCCAGAATGCATCATGGAAGTGCAGGGACACCAAGAAAACTGCCTGCTACACCAGGTTGACCTGAGCTGAAGTGGTCATTGAAAGACCAGACTTGAAGGGAAAAAAAGAGCCAAATCCGAGATGGTGAGAACACACCGAAGGGCTGTTGTGTTCCACAGAGAGACTGAGAATAACCAGAACACCCAGCAAAAAGATGGGGAACCCAACCTACCCAGAGTACAACTAAGACACAATGATCAAAAAGAGCAGCATAGAAGAAACAGACCCAGTGTAAACAAGGGGCATTTTTAAATGCCTTTTCCATTGAAAAAGTGTACATACAGCTATGCATATTTTGGTGGTGTGAGGAGGTACTGATTTCCTGTGATTGCCAGCATTACAATAAGTATCCCTATTATGAAAAATGGGAAGCAGTACAGGTGTACAGCTTTCCACTTTCACCAGGCAGAAAGTGATGCTAGCAAAAGTGGATATTATTATGCAAGGATTTACTGTCTTCAAAATCTTATATATTATAATCTGAATGTATTTATACAGTATATTTGAATAGTTTAGTGTTTGTTGTTTTATGTTATATTTAACCCTGTTTTGTCAAAACTTTTTTCATTCTTTTAAGGAACTACCTCCCCACCCCATGCAAATGAGAAGCAAGGTAATTATGAGGCGACGAGTCACAATAATGTGGCTTAAGTAGGTTGACCAGACTACACACTAGAAGGTGAAGGGATGACGACGTTTCGGATCGTCCTGGACCATTCTCAAGTCGATTGTGACAATCGACTCGAGAATGGTCCAGGATGGACTGAAACGTCGTCGTCCCTTCACCTTCTAGTGTGTGGTCTACTCAACAAGGTAACTATGATGCTAACTAGACAAAATACCATAAACAAAAGCATCTGATAAACAAATGAGAGAGAGCACTGTAAGGGTCATTATAATTCAACACAGTGGATACAGGACAAGATTTGCTAAAAAATGAAGGTGTAGAGAGACACGAAGTTGTGTGTAGACACAACATATTGTCTGTAAGACAAGAGGAAAAACATATTGTCTGTAAGGACTACGTACATCAAATCTAATATAGATTTTATAAGATTTAATTTAAATCAGATAAAAATGACATTTTCAATAACATTTACACTACACATGGCGAGAAAGACCAGGGGTTTGTGTGGAAGAGCAGTGTATGACGGACAAAAGAATAGTTAAGAACAAAATCTCACATATGCTGAGAAAATGGTACATACATACATACATGCAGGGAGGGGGGGGGGGGAACTGCATGGTAAACAATGCTAATGATTTATTCAAATGAAAATGAACTTCCAACATATATACTTCTCTATTGCATCCAAACACACTATTGTACTTCCTTCTCCCTATTAGCTTCTACAGTCATACAAAAAATATCCATGCAAAAAATACTTATAACTCTTGTATTCATCCACTGACAAAACTTTTAAGCATTTAAACCAAGATAATTTCTTAGTTATACCTGGTCTCAATAACTGAAGCATAACTAAAATGCATATGGAGGAATATACAGTATAAAGGCATGAGCCGTCTGCCATATAAACACAGTATCTCGGAGAACTTGCTTGGACATCCCTGCACTGTGTGGAAGGCAGCAATAACTCACAATTGATTTTAAAAGATTTCTGATGCATCTTTGTAAATTACTAAAATAATTTTATTTCTAGGGAGAAGCATATGTAGTGTTCTCACAAAATGCACAAAATATCTAATCAAATTTTATGAACTTATTAAGTCTAATCAGCCATTTTCTATGAAGTCAAACTCAATAGATCACGTTTAAAAATGTTTGTTTAAAGACAAATATTGTATATTGATTAAAAACATGTTAAGTATAGCAATAAAAATACTGAATGTGGCAATAAGCTCATAAAAAGGGAGGGTTATCAAACTGACCAATTGAATTACATTAATTACAAAACTGATATTTGTTTCACTTTTATTTTATCATTTCTTATTATTACGAAGTATGTAAAATCCAGTCACTTGAATAAGACCAGATGTGACCCACCTTTAGATGAGATACAGCCTCCATAACCATATCCTTCTTGGGCCGCTTACATGTGGTTGTCTTCCGAGCAGGTGCTTTACCTGACTCCTCCGCAACATCCACGGACCCCACCAGACGAAGGTGGAACACAGTGCCAGCAGGCCCAAGCCCTGGTCCCCCACCCTCCTCCGAGACCCAGTCCAAGTTCCCTCCACCTCCATCAATCTCCAGCGCTTCTCTATTCTCTTGAGCAGTCACACTTGTTCCTGGGATGACTGTAAGGACCTCAATGCACTGATCTTCACTATCAAGGCTTACATTTTTGCCTCCCTCACCATCATCATCGTCGTCATCATCGTCGTCGTCCTCCTCCTCCTCCTCCTCCTCAACATCATCATCCTCCTCACCATCGTCATCTTCCTCATTTTCTGCTGTAATAACTTGTTGCCGCTCCTCTCTTTCATCTTCCTCTTCAATTTCATCCTCCTCTTCCTCTTCATAATCATCATCATCTCCATCCACATTTAATGGCTCATCACTCGATTCCATGATGTTTAATATATTATCTCGAATTCCAATTGGCTCCTCTAATACACCAGGTGGCAATGGTGACACAATAGGAACACTAGAATGTACCAGATTTAAATCAGCCATATAAGGGCATGCAGGAACCCCTTGGCTCATTCTATGTAATTGTTTCCATGCATTATTATGTGCAGGTTGGCTATCAGGAGAAGTGTGGGAGCACCCATGTCCTCGGCGGGGTGAATGAACAACTCGAGGTGAAACTGCAACCGATTCATGAGCCAATGGAGAGCCAAGGGACTTGGATATTTTTGGTTCTTTAGGAGAATTCAAGGTTCTTGGCGAATTCTGACTCCTGGGTGAATGTTCCCTAGGTGAGCAAAAGCCATTGGACGATTCTAACTCCCTTGGCATATGTAGAGAATTAATAGAGTGATGGGGAAGAGGTGAATGTTTGGGGCTTGGGGAGAGTGGGGGCTCTGGGGATGGCTCTGGATCGTTACATTCCGCCAGCAGTTCCTTATCATCATCTGCATCCTGACAGGGGAATGTTGTTTTGGTTGGTTCTCTAGCTACTGTACACACTCTCTAGGTAGCGAGAATCATTATTATGTAACAACAGTTGAGAGGTAACTTTAGGGGGTAAAGTAATTCTTAACATGTTTGGAAACAGTTTCATAAGAACAAATTGTATATAGCTTGTAGGAGGATGAATCGAATTGATAGAGAGTTATTACTGCATCTACTGCTGAGGAGGGGTTAACTGGGGACTTGGTACATATCTTTTGGAACACAATGGGACAGGTGAAATCATATATTTTCTTAAAGCAAGGCAAAAATAAAATAAATAACCAAACACATGTACAAGATGCGGACCTTAATAATCAATTAACAACTTTATGATAAAGCCTTAGGCTTATTGATAAAGCTGGCTTTATAGGAATCAGCCAAAATATAACACAAGGTCTGAAAGGGAGGTCAAATTGCCCTCTTTCAAAAAGCTAGTTACTGATACACTTTGCAGCAACGACACACATGCAGCGACGTTAGCCAGCACCGAACCAACCACTTTGGGAATGACATGACAATTATAACTATCAAAACTGTAGTCTTTGATGAGAATAATACAATAAAATTATTCAAGAATAATAACCAACCAAAACAGACATTAACACTGCCTGGTAAGCAGAATAAATGAATAAGAAAAACACTGGCATAGTTTCTGTCTATGTCCACTGTGTTACCCATCTTATAAAACTCATTTAAGAACTCTGTTTATAACCACAGACCTCGTTTATTCAATAAAAAAAAAAACAGTAATTGACCTCACGTTAGCAACCCAAAACATATTCCGACTGTCACCACTGATGCATGCGAAAGTGTTCCCAAGGTCAGATCAGTTCATGCTCTTGTACAGCATAAATAACTCCTCCAGTAAATAAGTATTTTTCACATTTGAAACCTGTGAACTACCGTACCCCCCAAATCATATGAGAAGAAAAATGATAATAGCAATGGAAGATAAATAAAAGCTAGACAAGCAGTTATTACCATTCTCATTGTAAAGAACTTTCCTTTATTTTCAAGAATATTTAATCTTCCATTAGTTACTGTGTTACTGTGTGTAAAAAGCAACTAGAGGCTTCAACATGTGATGCTTGCACATCAGTTTCCATATATTTATATATATAATATATATATATATATATATATATATATATATATATATATATATATATATATATATATATATATATATATATATATATATATATATATATATATATTTATTTTTACACCTCTGGCTGGAAGGGGTCCCGTAGCCGCGGAGGAAACCACACACAACGCATTAGAGGGAATGTTTAGGTTCCCTCCAATACAGTTTCTGTATGCTTTTCTCCTACCACCCCCCCTTCCTTTTGTGTGTGTATTTTTTTATGTATACATACATATACATATATCCTGGCATACAAATATTCTATGACCAATCTTCAATTATGGATTGTTCAGGACATTATGTTACTGCATGATTACATGAAGAAAATGGACAAAAAAAAAAGGCATTCAGGATAAATGTATCATAAATATTGAAGGCATCAGTTCCTAGGTCATGTGATATGTTTATAAATTAATGACAGCCTCACCCAATCTGGCCCCAAAAAAAAGACAAAAAAAAAGACATGCAAAACTGTAACAACAATGGCGGATGAGATGAGCCTTGAGTCAAGTGATCTAAGAGAGGGGAAACACTACAAAAAGATCTAATGGTCTGGATACATTCAGGTACTCAAGGTGTTTACCAGCGAGATAACTAATCACACGATACAACTTGGGGACACACCTCGACATTGAATCTCGACACACACAAAGTTATGTAGGCTTTTTTTTTTCTCTCTCCAAGCGATGATATCTTATGCAATAGACTTTCGGGTGTCAAACAGTGGCTCTTAGAAGTTTTCAAAAAACAGATCATGATGAGGTAACACAGTGTCAAAAGAAACATTCATGCAGGGCAGAATATCTTTTCCCACCTAAGAAGGCTTCAGCAAAATCACGGACAGATTCAGAAAACAGCTAATGCCCAAAATAATATGGCAAAACAATATTTACTCCAACAATGATAAAAATTAAAATTTTTTTTTTTTTTTAAATTTGTAAATTATATGTATATGTTATATCTGATAATTCAAAAGCAAACAAATCAGTTTTCTAAATGTATTGAAAATCTTCACGAGTTCAAATTCCTTCTATGAATTGCATAAGGTGGGATTAAGATAGGGATGCAAGGCTCGTGGTGTGAGAATCAGGGAAGCAATAACGCTACAGGACCTCTTGCTTATATCTGCTGACTGTCGCCGGATGCCTCTAAACAATAACCAACGAGAGCAATTATAATTGAATTTCAAACACGCACTCCAATCTAGGAACAAAATTAATTCATTCATTTACATCCATGTGACAATAATCAGTCAATAACATTATAATGTAATTAAGTAGTTACAATCATTAAATTAATAAAATAAAACTAACTATACATAAAATTCAAGCACAATACATTAAATTATAATAAGTTGCTACCATCACTACACAAACCAGTCCTGGCATAACATTTCAAAAGCAAAATGTTTGCAAGAATTGCTTATCAAGTATTCTTTACTGTTAGAGGAATAAGGTTAAAAATGCTCAACATTATAAAACTGTTTCAGTACGTGAAAAAGCCAATGTCTCAATAACTAATTTTATCAACACTATCACAAAAAAAGCACAGTCTTAAATTTGCAGGCTTTCATATACAGTCACACACACACACGTGCATGCACACGACTGCCAATACTATTACACAAAAAAGTACAATAACATCAACCTCAATGTACCATGGAAACCTTTGCATCTACAGTATAATTATCATTTAAACATTTAAATGTGTTTTCCATCTTTTGTAAAAAAAAAAAAATAATTAAAAAAAAATTAAAAATAAAAGTTTGCTCTTCTATTGAACACTTTCCTCGTATATTTTTCTGAATTAAGGCTTTCACCTAGAGTTACTAAATAAATTTAATATAACAAACTGCACAAATACCATTTAAACAAGAAGTAATAAATGTTACCTAATGTACAATCAATTAAATGAAGTTTCTTAGCATCATCAAATGTATGGTAAATCAGATAAAAGAATACAACAAATAAATAAGGATAAAAATTGGGTTGCAGATAGGATGAAGAATTCTCGTCAATTTGTTACGTTTTCGAGAAACTTTCTATACCCTTCAATACCTCATAGTATTGCTTATTATTAGTCATGGAAGCTACATTTAATTACAACACTATCATTTACAACTTCCATGAAAAATAACTTACCTTTATTGTCTCCATAAAAAAGGAGTTACTTCAACATATTTAGCAGTATATGTTTATTATATACTGTATATATATTAGAGTATATATATATAAAAATAACAAATGTAGTACCTAGTAGCTAAAATGCACTATTTGGTCTACTATGCTAGGACCAATTTGACTAATAAGCCATGTTTTCCTGAAGTTAAATATTTTTCTAAATTTTGTTTTTATGAAATGATAAAGCTTTCCATTACATTATATAAAATTTTTTTTTTTTTTAATTTGAATTAAAACTAACGTAGAAATATATGACCAAACCTAACCTAACCTATCTATAAATTCAAACTAACAAAACTAAGTCAGTAATTCATGTTTGTAATATAATAATATTATTTTAAATAAACCAACTGGAAACAATTTTTTTGAAAATAACAAAAATCACTTGGCCTATTAGGCAAATTGGGCCTTGCATAGTACGCCGAGTAGTGCGTTCTGGCTATTAGGTACGACAATTTTATTATATATTATATATATATTATTATATATAAAATATATATTATATATATATATATATATATATAATATACAGTACAATATTTATAATATATATAATATAGGGGTGGAAGGAGAAGAAAATATTAAAGTGTTCAGTGAGAATCTACAAGGTCGTCTCTGAATACTCTTTTTCTTCTTCTTCGAGGCTATGGATCCCAACAATTACGCCAGAGGTGGTACCCCTATCTATATATATACACACACATTATATATACGATATATATATACACACACACACACACCCATGTACAGAAGCTTAGTACATATACATCATAAAAATGTAATTATTTCACAAAAATACCTTTACACAGCAATTCTACACTTTCAAATATCCTTCCACTTCAAACTTACCTTGATACGAGAAACTGCCTCTTCGGCTTGCATCATCCGTGTGGTCTTGGTGGGCTGACCTTCCGAGACGAGCTGCGTTGAGCCAAGGTAGCGTGCACGGAACAGTACACCCTCAATCAACACTGCAGGTTCATGAATCATCACTGTAGAGTAAATACAAATTATTTTAGAGTGCTATATTATGAGGGTCTGTTCATATTCAATGACATCTTTAACAAAACAAAATTTGTAATATAAAAAATAAATCAATTAAAAAATAAAATTACAGAATTTTTTTTATTAAGTTGAACAGGATTTACAGCACATAATAAAACCAGGAATGCGTATGATCTTCCTGTAATTATAAAATCACAACATTGACCACATTTAATTGAAATGCCATCAGCACTTCTATAATTGAGTAAGTGGTAACTACAGAATGGAGGAAATCAATGTAAATGAACTAATTTGAGTTCCCCATATATACCAATCCCAGTTATCACACACACACACACACACACTCATATTTCATTCTATACATACATACATATACAGTACATAGTTTTTTTTTATAATGTTGCTCTAATTACTGCTGAAAATTCATCATATAATGTTCCTTCTTGCATTTACTGCATGTAGAAACCTTCATTAACACATTCCTTCTATTTTGACTGATGTGGTGGCCTAATGATCAGAACTTGAAACAAAATCTAAAGAAATGTAAGTTGAGAAAATTCTTTGATGTTCATGCAAAAGACAAAACAAAGCTCAATCAGTGGCGACTCACGCACCCCGTAAGAAAAACATTATTTCTCACAATTGAGGCTATGAACGGATGTGGAATACACAACCAAATAGCTGGCTTATCCAAATAGACAGCAGTAGGGAAATGCTATACTACTATAGATATAAAGAAATATTATTTGACGAAGTAGCACCAGGAGTCTTATTGGAATGTGCAGATGAGCTATGTTGTTATTTTTTTACCCAAGTGTAGTTACAGGATGAGTTACACTCGTGGTGTCCCGTCTTCCCAGCACTCTTTGTCATGTAATGCTTTGAAACTACAGTACTGACAGTTTTGGCCTCCACCAGCTTTTCACTTATGGTAACTTTTTATAGCCGTCTACCAGTCCATTTGAAAAAGTGAATTTTCTTAATGCTAATGAGCTCATACTAGGATCGAGAGACTTGATCGTTTATTTACATCGTATGAGGAAGTTTCTTTGGCAGCTTTGAAAATTTGACTTCTGAACCCAGCAGTTGTCTATACTGGTTCACTGTCTGTCAGGATACAGTACTTTCTCGGTGGGATGGAGAAGTGTCACCCACTCTCTGCCTCTCCGAGTGTGGGGGCAGGTTATGGCTCTGGTCCTCAGTAGGCCAAATAGAACTCCTTATGTTATGTAATGGGATACAGTAGCACTGTAGCATTTATTTTTATTGTGTTTATGTTTGGCTATTTTCCTATTTTCTTACATATGTAAATAAGTACTGTAAGTAGTACAGTCGGGTTTGTTCTCAACTCACAACTGAGACTTCTGGGTTTGAATTCCGAGTCAGAAATAGTTGGGCACTTTTCCCCATCACCTAATGCGCCTGTTCACCTACCAATAAATAGGTATCCAGGAATTAATTAGCTTGTTGTGAGGGTTGCATCTTGCGGAGGGTTAGTAGCTCGACATTGAAGGGGACCTCAATATAAGCCTAACATGTATATACACACTAGCTGCCTGTCCCAACACATTGAGCTATTTTTATTATACAGTTCTGTTTTTGTTTAATAGTTTGTTAGTCTCTGATGTATTTTATTACTGTAGATAGAAAGAGGTAAAGGGGAGGGAGAGCATTGCCTCTTATCCTGAACACAGGCTTCCTAAAACATTGCTTTAAGAAGATTTATGATTTTCACAATCAATTTTGCATTTACTGTATTCTATATTTTCTTTATATTGAAATGGGTAAGATGACTGCATAATCAACACAAAATAAAAGATGAAGCCATCTATATAAATTGAATGAGTTTGGATTCGGAAAAGACCTGGTTATGCGAGCTTGGGTGGATGTAAATGGCAGCAGCTTGGTATATCTTGAGATGATTTCGGGGCTTTAGTGTCCCCGCGGCCCGGTCCTCGACCAGGCTTCCACCCCTAGGAAGCAGCCTGTGACAGCTGACTAACACCCAGGTTCCTATTTTACTGCTAGGTAACAGGGGCATAGGGTGAAAGAAACTCTGCTCATTGTTTCTCGCTGGCGCCCGGGATCGAACCCGGGACCATAGGATTACAAGTCCAGCGTGCTGTCCGCTCGGCCGACCGGCTCCCCGGTCTAGGCCAGAGGACTTTTACAGTTTCCGTGGTTCTTGAGTGTAACAGAGTACCGTATTAAGACTACTGTACTGTGTTCAGGGGGTGAAGAGGGCAGATGGGACACCACTGATCCTCTCATTACTGCCAGACAACTTTTAATATTATTTGTTGTTTTTACACGACAAACATCTGTACGTTTTCTTTAGTTACAATTAAACAAAAATTAGCATAAGGTTGCTAAATACAGTATGCTTAGAGGAGAAGACTGCCACTAAACGAAGTTTGCCCTAAACCTCACATCAAGGGGGCCAAATGTCACTCCCATCCATACTTCACAATTTGTATTCAGTATTGTATTTTCATCCATAAATACATACAGTAATAATATTAAACAAGAAAACTAATTTCTTAATATACTTACATAATTTAACAAATAAATCACTTTAAACAACACAAAAATTAAATGCATGTTAGCATTTGTAAGGTTACACATCATTAGGCTAACATAGGGGCAACGTATCTAAAACAGAAACAAATTGGCAAATCCACAATGGGCTTGGCCTGGACCATTTTAGATTTGTTATGTTTTTCTATTATATGTGAAGCCAATCATCATCAACAAGGAGTGGGAGGCATGCAATATATTTTGTACAAAACCATGCACCAAATTGGACATATTGCACTGTACACATAAATTATACAGTATTATTATTCTCAATGTAAAATGTCAAAACAGACAAAAATACTGTATTTAGTGTGTGTACTGTACTTCTGTAAAGAATATTTAATAATAATTCCAATGAAATGGTAACTATATACAGAATTGTAGATGAACTGCACAACAGAATTCCAATTTAATAAAATTCTATGGCAAGCTATTACGCTACATTATTATTATTATTATTACTACTACTACTACACTGAGAGTAATCACACTAACATGATGCATCAATGACTACTGTACAGTATATCCATAGTAGCCGTGATGAGGATTCGAGCCTATGTGCTGGGTGTTCTCAGGCACATGCTCCAGACAACTTGGCCACATGGTCAAAAGGATTGCAGCCTGGGCTACTACTGCACTCCATGAGGATTCCTGAGGCATCCACTGCAGCTGAACCAGAGTTTCACACAATCCCCCCCATGCACTCTGTCATCTAGAAATGTTCTACCTCTGACACTCCTCTTTCAATACACAGAGAGAAATCACACTAACGTGATGCATCAATGAGAACATCCGTAGGAGCCGTGATGAGGATTTCAACCTGTGCACTGGCTGTTCCCAGGCACACACTCCAGGACAACTAGGCCACGACATGGCTTCAGTGAAAGCCTCAGGAATCCTAATGGGTGCAGTAGTGCCCCGGGTTGCAATCCTTCTATGTCGTGGCCTAGTTGTATGGAGTGGGTGCCTGGGAACAGCCAGCGCATAGGTTCGAATCCTCATCACGGATCCTACGGATTTTCTCATTCTTATTATTAACTAGATGTGTAGACGGTGAGCCTGGGGTAGAACTGCAACTTATACATGCTGTACACTAATTGACTGTCAACTTTTAAGTAAACAGCATGCTTTTCTTTTTAGTCCACTAAGTTTAATTCTAAAATTTTACTTATTAACTGCAAACCAAATCTGAAACTTTCCTTCATTTTTGAGTGGAATATACATGCTTTCAAACTAAATAGTTTAGTATTACAAAATGACTGGCCTTGACGAGGCCACAACATACAGTATAAGCATCCACATTGTGTCTCACTATCAAGATATTTAGCATCACCAGATAAAATAAAAAAAGAGGTGACCAATAAGGATTTATTATTCTTTGATAAAATAATAACATTATGTTAGTGTTAAATCTAATGTTACTTATTTGTATCAGTTTAATGTTACTTGTTGTATAATGTTGAGTTTCAACATTATCAAAGGCAAAAAATGTGAAATAAATTCTGACCAGATGAAGCTGGACTCCATCTAAAACACAGGGATTATAAACAAGAACTAACTAACAATACTGTAGTTGCTTTTACACAAATAGAAATCATGCTAAATAATTTTGCAATTAAGATGGTAACATTTCTTTGGGATTATATCTTTGCATGAATACTATATACGATGCAAAAATAACCATTCACATCAAATGTTCAATGCTGTAAATATTTTACTAATAAATAATGGTACCCATCTTCAATAAAATATAAAAACAGAACATGATAATCTAATTAGGGACTACTGTACACTATTTCAATTCTATGGGATTTAGAAATCATTTAATGATAATCTTTTTCGCAGGCAATCAGAAACTGTTTCATTCCGAAGAGCTACACACACTCACACACATCACGTCACCAGGCAAGACATGCACCAGCTTACTCAGACTCACCCCAAGGTGGTGCCCGATGATGTGTACAACCACCACCACCATTGTGCAATAGGGGAGGGAAGGTGCTTTAGTTAGTCATAAATCACTTTATATGTGCTTAACCAATAATAATAACTGTATCTTGAGAGCTAGGCAGTTTTTATACTAACAGTACCTACCTTATACAATCATAATATACACCAGCCAATAAGATATACATATTTCCGTATGAAAAATATAAATAATAATAATATAGTTTCAGGCCATCCACCTGTTATCTGGAAGTAAAGTTACCTATAAAAAAGATGAATTATAAGCCAATTATAGAAAGTGCAGACAGTATGCTAGAATGTGCAAGTGTTAAAATGTGCAAGGTGTGGGGGGGCAGAGCTGGTCACGACAGAGGATTCAAGAGGCAGCTCTCTTTACAACCAAATACTCTTCTTTGTTTCATTAATGAAAAAAAAATTTTTGTGTAGGACTCGCTATAATAACCAAAATAGAACTTATCTATTACAAATTAAAAACCTAATTAATATAAGATATGTATTCCAGAATTTTTAATAGATTGATGTCTAAAAGTTAAGAGATAAAATTGGTGGAAATATATCATGTCTTGTTCAATGCTTAAAAGCTTTGTAGAGCTGTGTCGCAAGCATATATATTAAGTAAAGAAAGTAGGAGATAAGCGACTTTAATTTTGGAAAGCTACATGACTACGTATAGTCAAATATTACTACCGACTGAAGACCACAGACGTAGCTAAATGGTACATGTTTAGCAAAAGACAAAAATAGAAAAAAACATGACAGTACAAAGGATTTTAAGAAGACAGGAAGTATTCAAATGATGAGTATGTTGTTGTTGTTTAAGATTCAGCCACTCGTAACAAAAGATCCAAGCAGCACAGGCTATGGTTAGCCGTAGTGGACACTTTTACCCCACACAATAATGAATAGTGTTTAAATCTCCTACAAGCACTGTACTATAATGATAGAACAAGTGCAGGGAGTAAAGAAGAAATGGAATACCAAATGAAACCGTAATGCATGATAAACATGCACGATAATGAATCGGACGCCAAAAGATGATCAATGTACAGTACCAGTATACATGACACAACTGAAGAGGACTTGATTGACTTAAAGATTGAGGACAACATTTTGACAAAAAACTGTGCTGGCCATTAGGGAAGTAGAATTGAAAAAAAAAAGGACAGGCATCAACAATAAAAAATATATTAAATAGACTACAAAAGATTGTAAGTACCTGAACAATTTTCTCTTTACTGTTCATGCATAAGAAATGTTTTTCATCTGCGTTTCTCATTACGAGAAAGAAGCCTTATGATAACCATTTATCTGCCTAACACACAGTGAATGTTGGATGTAAAGCATTATGTACAATATAGTATACTAGTACTGAATTGTAGAAATGTAACTAATGAATTCAACAGAATTTTAAAAGGTAGTTACCAGTGTATACTCTCTCTCTTATACAAATATTCATAACAAATTAGCAGCCAAACATCCTGGAATCCCACAGAGCAGCTTGCAAGTAAGCTTTAAGGAATTCCACAGACTGGCTATCCCCATATATAGGTTATCTTGAGATGATTTGATTTCGGGGCTTAGCGTCCCCACGGCCTAGTCCTTGACCAGGCCTCCTTTTTGTTACACACACCCCCAGGAAGCAGCTGTCTAACTCCCAGGTACCTATTTACTGCTAGGTAACAGGGGCAATAGGACAAGAGAAACATTTTGCCCATTTTTCTCCACCTGCACCAGGGATTGAACCCGGAACCTCAGGACTACGAATTCGAAGTGCTGTCCACTCAGCTGTCAGGCGCCCCAGGCGTCTACCTGAAGCTATCACACTGAATCAATGTCAAATTACTATATGCCATCGGTCGTGGAATTCTATTAGCCTACCAGGGACCATAAGCCCCCCTTAGAGAGGCACAAGGAGCGATGGCCTATGAACACTACATTTAAAATTAATCATAATTGCCACCATCAGGGAAAGTACCCAGAAAGTCAATGAAACAAAACAGGCCATTGCATGATGAAAATCAGTGGATTCATTGTGGGGTTGATCCGGTTTCCCTGGTTCCCTGTTCTGGACTCTATTTCTCTGGTGGTCGGCCGCAATGTCATTAAATCTAGCCAGCCTGCAGTCTACTCTCGTGCCCATGATATCCGGAAGTATGCAGCTCTGACAGTAGTATCTGCTAATATGTCTTGGACCAATATTCGGGTGCAGGAGGTTTTGGAAGTCTAACAGGGGCTTGGTGACCAAATATCTTATGAATATTCCTGGTCCTCAGAGGCCTTGTGTGGCTTTAAGTCATCTGTCACAGCCGATGGTCTTTTCTTGGCTTTGATACCTTTGGTGCTGCCTCCTCCCTGGTAAGTGTCCTATTTTCTCCTTCTCTATGGATCACCTGCCTCCTATCACCACCTATTTTCACCTGCCTCCTTCTTCCCCCAAGACGAGGGGGAAGAAGGAAGGGCAAACTAGCTCGTGCTAATTTCACAAAATTTGGTTGTTTGTTTTCATAGCTTTTTTTTTTGGCAGTTATGAGGCTGCAGTCTTGGTTTTAACCATGCAGTGGCCTGTTTTGTTCCACTGACTTTCTGGCTCTTGGTCCCTAGTAGGCCAATAGAACTCCATGACTGATGACACCTAGTGGTTTGGCATTGAATCTGTGTGGTAGCTTCAGGAAGCCTCAAGGAGCTCCCCCCAGAAAAACAGTTTAATATAATGAAATGCCTGTTTCTGGAAGATCCTTGGTAGATCCATGGTACATGCTACCCTCTTCAATCCCTTGTGAGTCATTGTAAACCTACTGGGGACCAAAGGCCAAAACCTGGTTCCTCTAAAGAGGCCCAAGGAGTGGTGGATCCAAGATCATCCTAACCGAGAAAAGGCCACCAGAAAGGAGGGCAAACCGAAACATACAAACAAGAAGGTTAACAAAGCATAGAAAATAAGACGGCAAAGTCCAAAGATGAACAGGTAAGGCAGGGTCCCAAGGAACCACCAAGAACCCACCAGAAAGAGATTTCATTACATTTAACACTGAATATCTGGGAGAGCTCCCATTAGTGACTCGTTATTGCTATGTCACCATGGAGAAAAAACAAAAGGGTACTCACTAGGGATGGAGAAGAGCCATACAAAGCAACCTCAGTTAAGGGGAAATTAGTGACTAATTAACCACCACCCAAAACCACCGGTATGCAGCCTCTCCTCTCAAGTTATCACATCACAAAAAGAAGTACTAACTGAATTATTTTGGAAATAGAAGAGGCGGTAACCAGAGAAGGACCTAACACACAACTAAACTATTATAACCACCAAGATTCAAAAATTCTTAGATGCTTCATAACTAGGAGCAAGGGAAGAAGCCCCTGAGCCTGCTGAACACCACCTTCCAGACACTGAAGGAAATGGAAAAGCAAATTTGGAGTAACTAGGAAACACCAACTGCCTCAAGATCAGATCCTAAAAGACAAAGGGGAACAACTTTGGGGCAACCACATCAACCTTGAATTACAACCTACATAGGCGGGCAAACCTGGCCCATAAAGTGGCAGTCACCTGATAAGCAGAATCCCTAGAGGAAGGCTTGGCTAAAACGATCACACAATGACTACACACGTCACGGTTCTCAGGGTGGAACACATCCCCCACCCCCCCATTGAATAGGTGGCATGAAGGAGGTAGTACGAATGGCCATTGAAATACTATACATCAAACCCAAGACATCCTTCAAATTTACACCCTGTGAGGGCAGAATCCATAATAACCCCCCCCCACCCCCCCAAAAAAATGCAAGGGACTTGCCATGTCCCAAAAGGTAGACTAAACAAGAAACTAAACACTGGACATGGGCTACTCGCCAAATATTACAAGAACCAAAAACAACCTAGTGCCAAATGCAGCTGTTAAGGGTGCAAACAGTGTGCTATATAACGAGCACAGAAATCCTCTGTGTGACCCTCATATGAAAATCCAGAGTGTCCCCATCGACAAAGCCTCACAGAGGACTCAAAGACCCGTATACTGCTATGGGCGAGGTACCTTCCACTTGATGTTGGCCTTTCAGACACAACCACTCAAACCCACCAGAGAAGGCAACTCTGGCTGGGCAAGAGCAACACCCGGAACACCTGAAATAATCACTCTAGGCATGGGCAGTCCGAGGTGAACAGTCACACAAGAAACGAGGTATAAATATACATATATGCATCATGAAGAAAACACTAAAAACAGAACAAATGCATAAGCAAATGGCCCCCACAGAACAAAAACAATGACCAAGATGACAAATACTTGCCTGAACAACTACGCTCTTGAGAGCACGGGCAGATAGAGGAGCATAATAACATCAGTGACATTCAACTATGCAAAATGACTAAGGTTTATGGCTATGGGTTTAAGGAATTAGGAGTAGATTCCTCTGGTGGTTCTCAGGTGGAACTAACAAGATAACCGATTCACCACGGGGCGATATGTTTATCTTGGGGCTTTGCCGTCTTGTTTTATAGGGGTTTTTACCTTACTGTTTGTACATTCTGGTTTGTCTATCTTTCTGGTGGCCTTTTCTTAGGGGAGGGACAAGGCTTTGGCTTCTGGTACCAAGTAGTCTTAAATGACTTGCAAGGCCTGGCATGGATTACATTGGGTGGAGCTTGTCAGGTAACAAGCACCAAGGAGCCAATAATAGGAGCCCTCCGAGAAAAGTGATTTTACTAACTTCATTCAATAGAACAGTAATGTTATGCAAGCTCATTCAAAATTGCTCATTTAAAAGGAATTCTATTATGACATATTAGCTCATTTCACAAATTGGAGTACAATACTGTACTTTTTATCTATTGATACTGAAAGCCAAATTCCTTGATACTGAAAATAGTATCAAATTCCTTGATAGAGTATTATTGATAGTGAAAGCCAATTAATGCATATCAATGTGAATATTTGTTAAATTAAATGGTTCACTTAATATAGTGTACAGTACATTACAAAATGTCTTCAGCTTTCTGCAAACATGTGATAATGCATCTTTTTGGTTAATTCGTACTGATAAATGAACTCATTGAAAATTCGTATTAATATATGTAGTAGTGTAGTCAAATTGAAGTTATACCAGTACTGTATGTAGTGACTGAGCTTATCCAAAAAAAAATTAGAATATGTAAGAAAATATGAAATTTGGAGAAGAATAATGTTTTGTGCAACGCTCATTATTGCAACCTGTGTACCATTCAAGTAAGCAAAGTGTGCTCTGTGCAAAAACTCGCACTACTTCAACCAGTTCGTCTCATAGGGTTCATGCATTACCTTCTTTGGAGCGGCCTTTCTTCTTGTTGGCTTCCTTTTCCTGAAAAAATAAAAATATTCAATAAGTATCCTGGGCTTCTGGGCTCCAATTTCCTCAATATCAAATGCTATTATTAACATCTGAACATAAACCAGTCTGTTCAGCTATGAATTTTTCATTGAAATACTCACAAATATTATATAACATGTGACTAATGCAAGAAGTAGAAAAGTTAACAAAAAATAACTAACCAATACTAACAAATAATTGAAATAAAGTGTTACTCTGATAGCAAAGGCAATTACTGTATAATTTTCCACTAAAAAGTATACCGGGTACAATATGTGCTCCAAGCCATTTTGAAAAGTGGATTACATTGAAAGGTGTTTGCAACATGAATGTCTACCTCGCCTTAGGAGTGCGGACATGTTGCATAAAGGCCTAAATGTCTTGGCTAGTACTATACAGTAGTACTTAGATCCACACACACATGGGGAAACAGTATTACTTGAATACACAAGACAATTATCACTGGCCTGTTTAAACAATACCAGTTATATCATCCTAAATTATATTGTACTCAAATACAGCACTGTATTAGTTCAAGGACCTGTAATTAAATAGAACAGAGCCCCAAACATGTATCCACAACAAATCCACAATTCATAAATTGCTAAATTTCCAAGTTACGTGCAGTATTTTACTCAAAAGTTCTGTGCATTTCAAATATAGTTCACTTTCCAAAATGGCATTGTACATATGTATCACCTAAAAATACAGCAAATTGTTAATTTTCATTGGAAATAGCATTCACCGAGTTTCCATATGCATAAAAATCTGCTACAGAATTTGGGAAACAATTAAATTTTGCTACGACCATGCTTAGTAGAGCACAGTAGAATAAGTACTCTGTACTGTACACTGAAGTACAGATATGTACAATTGCTTGGAGGCTTCCATATTAACACAAACATGCTTTTCCCCACAGTGGCTAATTGTATGTCATTTGTTTCATACAAATTATCATATTCAGGCGATGAGTCACACTAACGTGGCTCAAGAATGTTGACCAGACCACACACTAGAAGGTGAAGGGACGACGTTGCGGTCCGTCCTGGACCATTCTCAAGTCGATTGTGACTGGAGAATGGTCCAGGACGGACCGAAACGTCGTCGTCCCTTCACCTTCTAGTGTGTGATCTGGTCTACAATTTATCATTTAAGTACCCATAACATCCCTACTCAAGATAAACTACCCTCAGCAACCTACTCTGCATTAAATCACACCAAACTAAAAGTTATTACAGGTGTATCAAGCACGCATGAGTCACTTAGGCAGTAAACATGCTTCTCACACTGGCTTACATCACTACTGACATGATTATTTCTTCATAACCACAGTACAGTACAGTACAAACAAAATTTAGTGTCAAAAGTACTAAATGGTAATAACCTCAAACCCAACTCCACTAACACTTTAGTGTTCTAATAATGCTAAAAAGACGTCATTCGTACTTTGATAGCAAGTGTTCCGATGACATATTCCATCTCAATTTTTTTTTTTTAGCACAGCAGCCAGAGCTGTTCAGGGGAGCAAATAAAGTACAGTATCAAAAGACCAACCAAAGATCAGTTTGGCCAACTGTCCATCATGCAAGATGTTATTGCTCAACTTATGTATATACAGGTATTCTTTTTTTTACAGCAACATGAACTGGTTATTGTGGAAATTTTCAAAACATCCATTTATTCATCACTGTCATTATCTATTATCAATACACCATTTGTTGCATATACATACAGGTACTCTAGAAAATTCATTTTGAGAACATTTTGACACCAAATTTATAGTTATAGCCCCCAAAAATTGAGGAAATGTAGAAAGAGAATGAACATTTTTGGCATCCTATAGGGGGACCTTGAGATGCCAGGAATCTTTACAGTCGAGCAGCCAGAGCAGGTACCGAGGGGTCAGAACAGACAGATTTTAATGAAATGTGTACTAAACCGTTGTCACGTATGACTATGTACAAGAAACCCCTGTAAATGTGATATATTCTACACTAAACTCTTGCTAATAAGTGAACAGCCTACAGCTTTACACTAAACCTTTGCTTATACAGTACTACACAGGGTGTGGGAAATTTCCTACCCAAATGCATAATTAACTAAATAATTAAACAACACTAGAGGGGTCAAACTTGGTTAAATTTTCATAACATGTCAGAGAAACTGATGTTATTTAGGGATTAAATTAGTATGTACAGTAGTAAGTAATGCATGTTTACTTATATGATCCCTCTTTATGCATCATATATTTTTAATGAAACTCTGTAATAAAATATTACTTAAACTGATATACAGTACTGTATATACATTAATATTTTCTTAATAAGTGCCACAAGGAACACTAATACGCAAAGTTTTGTGTAATAGTCAGATAGTTAATAGTCAAAGATAATCGTGTACATCTAGCACACCTGTAATAATATTTAATAAAAAGTAATTAATGCTAATTCATTAAAATGGATGTTAACTCATAACTTCTAGATGTCATCGTGGTGCAGCAGATATGTGCTTGCTTGCTTGTTTTCTTTCCCCTCTTATCATCATCATCATTGTCCTTAATGCAAGCAGTAAGACTGACCCGTTGTACCAAAGCCCTGCAGTAATGTGTTATATTATACCTGGATTGTACCTGGAGGGGGTTCTGGGAGTCCTTCTACTCCTACTTGATTTGTGAGAGCTTGGTCCAATATAAGCATAGACTTATGAGTTACATACAATATGGTGCGGTTCTCCAGTCATATTATAGAACAAAGTGAATGTGAATAGCCTACAGCTTTACACTAAACCTTTGCTTATACTACACAGGGTGTGGGAAATTTCCCCACACCTTTTTCACCACACACGTACATACGTTACAATGTACAGTAACACTATTCAGAGACTTTACCCTAACACACACAGAGATCACACTAACGTGATGCATCAAATGAACAAGACTTTTACCCTGTCGTAGCTCAGTCGATTAAGGCAGTGTCTGGGATGCTCCCAGACACAGGTTCGAATCCTCGTCACAGCCCTTGTGGATTTGTTCACTTTACCCTAAGTTTATTTTACAATTAATATATAGTAAAAGTCTCCTACACATCTAAATTTGTAGGAAGTAAAGAGATTTACGCTTCTAAACAATTCACACTTTAGTTACTATACATGTATTCAGGAAAAAAATATGAACAAACATTTATGAGTATGTACTGTATTCTGATGTAAAGAAACATGAGAAGTAATTTATGGAAAATTATGGAAGAGTGCTATGTATTATATCCCTTAAAATATTCATATACTGTACTATATAGTAAAGAATATACAAAATTCTTCCTCTCTAAAGTTAGATTAGCACTCTGGTAATGTGTATACAGTACTTTTAAAATACAAAGTACAGTAATGTGAAATACTTTACAGTACTTTAATACAAATCTAAAGCTATAGCTTGTATTGCCTATGACTAGAATATTAATATACTGTACTGTACTGTATGTATATATTCATTTGATTTTAAATGTATATTAAAGTAAGACTTGAGTAATCAACAATACTGTATATGTATGGTTATATATTTAACCCATCTGCTTTGAAAGGCATTAGTAAGTATTTTTTAGGTTTCTGGGGTATGTAAACCATTCCTGTGAGTGCTGCAATACAGTACACAGGAACTTTACATCAAGTCTGCAAATTCTTGGTTGTGGATGCAATCATCAGAGGCCTTTGGGGACAGTGTCTTTGATATGATAAACTTGGGAAGCAATCAGTACCCAACTAACCTCTGCGAGGGTAACATGTTACCTGCTCCCAAAATGAATTTGTAGATAAAATTGGACTACATAATGATGGTAGTGGGATACAGTATATTCGTCAAATGTGGGGAATGCATTTGTTAAAGCTGGAAGTGAGCATGCAGGAATGGGGTCTAGTGGGGTAAATTTAGTTAACTATGTATTTATATACATACACAAACATGGCTAGACTACTTTTTGTAATCATCCCGTAATTTGAAAATGGTTATTTTTCTCATTTTTTTTATTTTCTATATATTTTCTATATAGTACAGTATATACATTACAGTAATTTTACTTTATTAATTTGGAGAATGGAGGCGAGCACCAACAAAGGGCACAACACCCAAAGATAGGCAAATACAAATTTGTACTAATTTCTGTGTAATCTCCATGCCTTTTTTTGTTTTAGAATCCTTATTATTTTGTCAAGTGCTACACTATATTGGAAGCTAAATCCCATTTTCAATCCCCTCACACCTACATTATGATAACTAATATTTTACATTTTTTTTTATAACTTTATTGCTAACCATTTTTTGTAATACTCTAAATGATGTACAGTATTTTCCTTTTTTAATTTTATTGTAGAGACATTTTGTGGCCTACAATGTTCAAACTATAGTACTTACATAGATATTTTTGCTTATTTTTCCCAAACTTCATCATCATTTCTAATTTTAAGTTCAAATTATTCATTGAATGTAAAAACAGAGACAGCCTCAAAATAAATGCAGCATTGAAAGGGTTAAAAGAAAATCAATGCTCATTTAGAGCATTTACCGATACAACATTGTATTTAAAAGGCAAGCATATTCCTTGAACTACAGTATTGTAACAAAATTGGAGTAAAAATAACTCGGCTACACTTTTAACATTTTACTTTTCTGACACATCTGGCTCCCCAGAACCTAAAGAAAATCTAAAGTGCCTCCACCAGTGTATTTAACAAAACCACAAGGAAGCCAGTTGTTCAAATATACTGCAATATAATAAAGCATTAAAGGTTTCTAAAATGAAACATTTGTTAAAGAAATTGGTACATTCAATTTTCTATTCATATGTGCATGCTTTTTATGTACAGTATATGATAATTGTTTTTCCATCTCTAAACGTACATGTTATATTTAATTAGTTCTCTTATGTTATTAAAGTAGTGATGCCAAATTGTGTTGAAATGAAGGGGTGGTATAATACACAACATAATGTGGTAATACCTACACACTTCTCCAAATAGCTGATATCTAGGTGTCTGGATATTTAAACCCAGGGTAGGAGAGCCAGATGCTTGGAGAAGTGCTATACATTTTACCACCTACAGTGTTTGAAGTTGCATAATGATCCCAGATATCCACAACTTTACTCGAGGTAAATTCTTCCCCAGCTTCTTCCCCGAATCAACCTACCCTGGCTTTGCGCCCTTGTGAGGCCACTCCAGACCGACGACCAGAGTGCAACTCCATAGTCTCCCGAGACTGATGGATGCCTACTACTACTACTACCCGAGGTCTGTATACAACATAACCACAATCATCATAAGTTGGATTTCCCTTTTCAAACTATTCTTTAAATACTCTTGACGAGAAGCTACATTATCTTTTATGTGACGCACTCCCCAAAGTTGTACAAAGCTGAGCTTCATCAAGTATTGAGTTTCCATGGTCTCACCAAGTACCTGTACAGTACTTAATAACCCTTAACACAAGTACATAAACCTTCTTGAGCTGGCTATACATAAATCAATGACCAGTGCATGTGGCTCACAATAGACTGGATAGATTGGTTTGACTTCTGGGCAAGGAAAGATGTTTGGTATATTTTACATGCACTTGATATGTCTGTTCATCCAGCAGTTTGGTACCTTGATGAACAGGGTACCTGGGTCAGTCTGTGGCTCGCAGGGATCATCAGTCAGTGGCTTGTGGGAAATGCCGGCCCGTGGCTTGTGGGAAATGCCGGCCCGTGGCTTGTGGGAAATGCCGGCCCGTGGCTTGTGGGAAATGCCGGCCCGTGGCTTGTGGGAAATGCCGGCCCGTGGCTTGTGGGAAATGCCGGCCCGTGGCTTGTGGGAAATGCCGGCCCGTGGCTTGTGGGAAATGCCGGCCCGTGGCTTGTGGGAAATGCCGGCCCGTGGCTTGTGGGAAATGCCGGCCCGTGGCTTGTGGGAAATGCTGGCCAGTGGCTTAAGAGGAAATCTGGATAACCCTATCTGGCTATCTGTCTGCGACAATGAGAAACTATAATACTGTTCTTCGTTATCATTTCTAACCTTAGATATATATATTTGTTCTTACATCATTGTATTCCAGGCACCTTAACTGCTTTATTCTATCAAAAAGTACAATACCTGTAAAGTATTGTACCAGTTTCTGCTCCTCCACGTTACTTGAAGTGTCTTCAGAGTTCAGGCTTAAGTGTGGCTTCAGACCTAGTAACCTCTGAAGGGGTTCTTAAGGCCACCACAGAAGCTTACCGACCATCCAGCAAGTCTTACCGACCATCCAGCAAGTATACTTTAGTCCTGAACATTGTTCAGGACATTGTAAACCCCTAATGATCCGCGCGAAGGTTTACAGCCACCGCCTCACAATAACAAATGACACCATTCGGGATCCCTCCCTAAACGTCTTTGGTATAAAACTTTTTTTATAGTATTTTCTTGTGTACAAAAAAGTGTAATATGCTCCAAAGCCGGTTATAAAATAATTTGGGATTTAATGCCAAATTTGTACGCATTACATACCTTTTCTCGTGCCATTTGTGCCATTTATATTTACAATGACCTGGGGCCAGATTCAAGAAGCACTTGCGCAAGTACTTACGAACGTGTATTTATATTTTTTTTTACATTTTTTACATTTTACATTTACAGAACATTTATATTTAGTTAATTTACTTATAATACTTTATATATTTACGATATATAATTTACTACTAATTAATTTAATTATATTCATTATAAACCAAATGTTTGGGCTTACTGTATAAGAGTGCTAACATATATCTATAGTAAACATTATTAATACACAGAGCAAGAGTTTCAGTCTTATTCGTACGCATCTAATAGAGTAAAGAATTTACCCGAGGGCCACCATCTGTAATGGCCTCCACGGGGGGACAGGAAGCCGACAGCTTGTCAAAAGTTCCCGCTTAATTATTCCAGTGGGTAGTTGGCATGATTTAACACCGTTGGTGGTACTGTTTACTAAAGCGCGTCTGGGAATATCCCGCGCGTAAATTCGAACCCTCACCATGGCCCTTGTGGATTTTGTTCAGGTTTAATACCCTACGGATTAACAACAGCCTGCTGATGTCTGTCCTACACAGTGGCTTGTCGAGCCTAAAGTTGTTGCTCCTAGGTTCGATCCCCAACGTTGTAAAATGCTTCACCCGAGTACAACAAATTAATCGCCAACAGAACCTAAACCACCTAGCCTAACCAGTGCCTAAATATGTACAATATGGTATTATACAATAATATTCAATTATATTTGAGAAAATTCCTGATTTGAATGAATAGCATGTTCAAATTTATGAATGCGTCTTTGGGGTCGACCGCTGGATGGAATGGACTTAGTCTGAGGACGTTTTGGTCCATTTAAGCTCATGGAATCTTTTTACAAGACTTTAAAATTGTTTACACATCCCACTTTATCATGGATCTTTGTATTATCTGCACTGGTGATGTGGTTTGCGATTTTGTTATCTACGTCGTTAATGTGCATTAGAAAATGGTATTTAAACAGGTGTTGATCATTCGTGTAACAGGTGTGTGCTTGTGCCATGACAGGTGTTGGTCATATGTGTAACAGGTGTGTGCTTGTGTCATGACAGGTGTTGGTCATATGTGTAACAGGTGTGTGCTTGTGTCGTGACAGGTGTTCATCATACGTGTAGCAGGTGTGTGCTTGTGTCGTGACAGGTGTTCATCACGTGTAACAGGTGTGTGCTTCTGTCATGATAGGTGTTCATCATACGTGTAACAGGTGTGTGTGCTTGTGGGCTGTTAACAGGTATGGTGCTGGCCACATATTTCACTCGTCTTGAGCATATCTATAAGAAACAGCTGAAAACAATGAAATCTATAATTCTCAAATTATACATTTGGGCCTCAAACTAGTATGCAAGACAAAAACTAGCCAATCGAGGTTTTGCAAAAAAAAAAAACATTAATTCCACCACAAGCACAAATTTTAACACTAAAGCGTTTTCGCCTATAAACCAACTATATATATATATATATATATATATATATATATATATATATATATATATATATATATATATATATATATATATATATATATATATAAAACTTCACAATAATTGGCAAGCACATTAGTGAGAGGAGAGAGAGAAAGAGGTTGATGGTTAATATTAAAAGCCAGGGGCCAGATTCACGAAAGCACTTATGCAAGCACTTACGAACCTGTACATCTTTTCTCAATCTTTGGCGGCTATGTTTCCAATTAATAAACAGTTAATGAGCTCCGAAGCACCAGGAGGCTGTTTATAACAATAACAACAGTTGAATGGCAAGTTTTCATGCTTGTAAACTGTTTAATAAATGTAAACAAAGCCGTCAAAGGTTGAGGAAAGATGTACACGTTCGTAAGTTCTTGCGTAAGTGCTTTTGTGAATCTGGCTCCAGTTCTATTACCGCTACGGTTAAAGCCGGAGGGAACAACGTGCATCACTACAGACTATCATCATGCATCAAGTGGGACAGTAGGCTACCTCCTCCCATCACCTTTTTAGCTTTATTTTTATTAGTGGACGCCATGTCCGGCGGCGAAGAAGGCGTCTGATTGGTTGAAACTTGTTGACCTTGACCAATGGGCGTGGAGGGGGTGGAGCCGTTGCTGGTGGCCCCGCCCCCATTCGCCTTGTGATTGGTTGCCCGTGGCATAACAGTTCGGGTTTTCGGTCGTCGCCAACCCTGCAAAGTGACACAAGTACCCAACATAGGACAAGAGAGAAGTAAAGTGGTGTGTCCCCAGTACAGGAAAAGTGACACGCTCCGCCACACTGAAACCACCTGTGTCCCTACTAGGGCGGGCAAGGATGGTATTGGCTCCATACATCAATTTATACAAATTTCTCGAATCAACTCAAATCAAATTTCTCGAATCAAATCGAATTAAATTTGTTCTCTATGTGCCTGGGGCCAGATTCACGAAGCAGTTACGCAAGCACTTACGAACCTGTCCATCTTTTCTCAATCTTTGGCGGCTTTGTTTACAATTATTAAACAGTTAATGAGCTCCGAAGCACCAGGAGGCTGTTTATAACAATAACAACAGTTTATTGGGCAAGTTTTCATGCTCGTAAACTGTTTAATAAATGGAACCAAAGCCGTCAAAGATTGAGGAAAGATGTATAGGTTCTTAAGTGCTGGCGTAACTGCTTCGTGAATCTGGCCCCTGATTTTTGTCTTTTTACAGTTGGCTAAATTTTATAGAATAAATGGTCTTCCCTACATATACTCGAACTAAAAGCAAAAAGGAGAATCTAGCATCATACATATATATATAGTAAACAACTTATAATATTTATATATAAGTTATATATGTATAAATAACAGACTCCACATCCTTGTACACCATACAGCAAAGGGGGACATATCTTGACACAAAGGTGATATTAACAACGTTGTTCCGGATTTATAGTGTAATTTATTGTTATTATTAAATTTAGAAGGGGAGCCAACAGTGCTTTCAGAGTGAGGCGCGTTAAACAATGGTGAGGTAACATGCTACATGAGGGAGAGAATGGGGGAGTGCATAGAGAGGGGGGGAGGGTGGGTGCCACTGGAAATAGGGGAAAAGGGGGGTTGTGCATGGGTAGGGAAGTGTGTATTGGGGAATAGGGGGTTAAGAAGGGGGCGACTGAGGGCTGTGGGAAGATCAACAGACGGTTGTCCTGGACGTCTTGGAAAAGTTAGCGGTCATTCTAGTTTAAAAAAAAATACACACACAGGGTTTATATTAAAAAGGGAATTTATCTAAGTCATAATATAATCTAAAATTCTATTGCAAAAAATAAAGGTATCATACTCTGAAAAGCAAAAGATTAAGAGGGACCACAACACATTGGGGTGATGTTTCGTCTTGAGGAAAGCCTAATGCGGTGTTTATTTTTTGAATCCTGACCTTAGGCTAACAAACTCGTATAATTTAACCACCTTGCTGCTCGCAGGCAGGACGAGCCGTTTGGGCATTTTTTTCCCCTTACACCTGATGTCCCTGTTCACCTAGAAGTAAGGGAAAGGGGATCTATCAGGAGAAAACGCCAAGCCATTACGACTTGGAAGGGGTTAGTTAACAAGTACTGTATCTGGGGGTTTGACAGTTGCTTCCCTGAGCCTAGGGAAGCCCAATTGGCCTACGAGGACCCTGATAAGCCCAACGGGCCTCCTACCATCCCCTTTTCGTTCCTTAAATTATTAAGTAACGTGACTTACACCTCCATATGCCTATAATTACTGCTACTTTTCTAAGCAGCAGTAGTTTAAGTCTCAATAGCGGAACACCAAGACAGATGCGTTGAATATAAATGTCTATCATCTGTACCTGGCTACTGCTCATCTGATGACCGGCTCACAGGTACTTACACACTCCCTCGTCTCCTCAGCTGCTACCATTATACCACAGCTGCTCTCACTTGACACGTTACATCCGGTGTCACGTGTCTTCCAGACGTTACATCCGGTGTCACGTGTCTCCCAGACGTTACATCCGGTGTCACGTGTCTCCCAGGCGTTACATCCGGTGTCACGTGTCTCCCAGACGTTACATCCGGTGTCACGTGTCTCCCAGACGTTACATCTGGTGTCACGTGTCTTCCAATACTACAATAATCACTATTGCCTGCCGGTTGTCACTGCAGTCCTTCACAGTTCAAAACTTCACACGCAGGAGCGTTTTATGGTGTAAAAATCCACAAGAATCCTCTCAGTCTTTGTAAATTGGACTTACATAATTTCCTGTTTGAATTGCACATCAACACACACAAATATTAGCACACGAAACATTAACATCACCGTAGATTCGGTCTTTTTCTGTTGTATTTAGACAAAGTCAATGTTGTTAAATTAAGAGCATAATAATACAGAAATCTGCAGCAGGGGGTTTTGGACCATGCGAGCCAGTTCGTATCCAATCACTCCTACTCATATATTGATCCAGACACTCCCACACGTATTGGAACTTTCTTTATTAATGTTTATGGATAAAAACCACAGTACGTCATTTGATTATATCAAACATTTAACAAATTCATTAATATTTTGTTGATATCCGGTACCTCGGTTTCCCCTGCCTAGGCTTCGAACGTTAAATTTGTCAATATTGAAATGCCTCTGCCAATTTTCGGTTGCATTTTGAAAGTTTAAAGTTTGTCTTTAACGTCGCTATATCTTCGTTTTAATTTCTTACCCGCCCAGATTCAGTGTCATTCAGTGATTCAGTCGTCAATTTGACTAATATTGCTTTAAATTCATGTATTAAAAACAAGAATGTATACTTTCTCGAACACTCCGCTTTTCACTGTTTTATAATCTAACTTTTCTCCATTTGAGCCGACTTCTATACCCAGGGCAATACCCATACCATAATAGTTTATTTAATTGATCCTCGCCCGTATCATGCAACTTTACAAGAAAACTGCATACCAGTTACATTAGAGAAAACAAATTCACCGTTTCGGGAGATTATTTGGAGAGAGAAATGTAAAGGGGTAACTAGTGTATTAATAAACTAACGTTGCCGTTCATTAATGTACCGTCTCTTTAGTATTATAACTGTCTATAGGGAGGACGGGTTGCCTCTCCCCCATCACCCACACACGACAGACATTACGCAGAGAGGGAGTTACAGCACCGCTCCTGTGTCAGGTAAGTCCACTACGGGCTCACCATAGCCCGTGCTACTTGCCCTGCTCCTGTGCCAAGTAAGCTACGGGCTCACCATAGCCCGTGCTACTTGGAACTTGTTCCGAGTAGCTGAATCTATAACAACAACAACGAGAGAGAGAGAGAGAGAGAGCAGTCGAGGCACCGGAAGAGCTTCATTGAAACCGGATGTGAGATGTGGGGACCGGAAGCCTCCTGGCCTCGCCACACCCTGGCCCCGCCACACCTCCTGTGCCAAGATCTCCTTCCAAGCTCTGGTGCCAGGGTCTAGTGCCAGGTCTGGTGCCAGGTCTGGTGCCAGGTCTAGTGCCAGGTCTGGTGCCAGGTCTAGTGCCAGGTCTAGTGCCAGGGTCTGGTGCCAGGTCTGGTGCCAGGACTAGTGCCATGTCTGGTGCCAGGGTCTGGTGCCAGGGTCTGGTGCCAGGTCTAGTGCCAGGTCTGGTGCCAGGGTCTGGTGCCAGGTCTGGTGCCAGGACTGGTGCCAGGTCTGGTGCCAGGTCTGGTGCCAGGTCTGGTGCCAGGTCTAGTGCCAGGGTCTGGTGCCAGGTCTAGTGCCAGGGTCTAGTGCCAGGCCTAGTGCCAGGGCTAGTACCAGGGTCTGGTGCCAGGTCTGGTGCCAATAATTAAATGACAAAATCTATACACAAACTTGAGAAACTAGAGAATAAATAACCCAAGAATGCCTCTGTGACAACTTGACATGGTTGTGGCTACACCATATACCATCACACTAGTATACACAGCTCACGTGTATACTAGAGTGAGCTGGGTGTAGTGTCCAGGACTCACTACAGTGACACCTTACTCTCACACGGCCTACACTAAGTGCACTTTTCACTACAAATTTCAACATAACACTGAACTGCTTCCACGTGTCTGGCATACACTATTCACTGGTATACACGTATCACTGATATTGTTCCAATAGTTTTCATGGCATTGGTTTTAACAAGTCACTTCTTTGTTCATGGGTTAAGCTGCACTTTGTAACGACGTTAGTCAATTGACTACGGTAGTCAGGTGACTACCCTCTTCAGCCACACAACACTGTCACTATTGCACAACACTGTGTTTAATATACGACGCTCCCTCACTATACGCACTCCCACTGCACATATGCTCCTTATAGTATCTTTACAACCACCCCCGAGAGAGAGAGAGAGAGAGAGAGAGAGAGAGAGAGAGAGAGAGAGAGAGAGAGAGAGAGAGAGAGAGAGAGAGAGAGAGAGAGAGAGAGAGAGAGAGAGAGAGAGAGAGAGAGAGAGAGAGAGAGAGAGAGAGAGAGAGAGAGACAGGTTTACAGTACGCATGGGAGGACACTGGCACCCCCCTCCTCCCCCCAGCAGGTGTGTGGTGCCAGCTGGAGGCGCCACCAGGTGTGTGTGTGTGGTGCCAGGTGCAGGCGCCAGGTGATACTGGCGCCAGCAGTGTTATAGTGCGACTCCCTGCCTGCCTTAGGGCGAGGGGAAGGGGTGCACGACACACACCCTCCCTTACACACGTGACACCCCCTCCCCTTCCCCCCGCCCCCCTTCCACTGGCCGCTACTTAAACTTGTGATATATTAAGAATTAATTCCGGCCGAGACAAAAATTCAACATAGCCTCAACGCTTCAGTAAAGTAGATCAGTAAATACTGTGGGAGTTGACCCCCTCATTTCCTTATCGTGAATAATACATATATTACTTACAAATATTTAATCAAACAAGTTACTCTTTCATCCGCGTGTATCTTTACTAGGAAATAGAACAAGTAAAGCGGAGCACGAAGAAAAGTGAGATGAGTACGACGGCGGGTGAAAGTTGGGGAGAGACGCGCGCGTGACTGTGAGTCGCTGCTCTCTCTGAACACGGCCAAACTGAGTCATTATGAGTCGCTGCTCACTCTGAACACGGCCAAACTGAGTCATTATGAGTCGCTGCTCACTCTGAACACGGCCAAACTGAGTCATTATGAGTCGCTGCTCACTCTGAACACGGCCAAACTGAGTCATTATGAGTCGCTGCTCACTCTGAACACGGCCAAACTGAGTCATTATGAGTCGCTGCTCACTCTGAACACAGGTTGTGATGGGGAGGGGGAGGGGGTTGAGAGCCTTGGAGACCGTGTCACCAGGCCTCACCTCGCATGACATAGCGTATCTTGAAATCCGCGAACATGTCACCGCCAAAATGCCTCTCGTAGATCAAAAGACTGTGTGTGTGTGTGTGTGTGTCGGGAGCTATAACGTCTGTTAGAGTGATTGTCGCCCCTTGTGATCCTGAGTCACAGTCACTGTCACTGTCGGGCTGCGCCGTCACGCGCTTTGTTCGTCCAGCATATGACAGTGTCTCGTGGGCGGGGGGGGGGGGTGAAATGTAGGTAAGGCTATTGGGGGGTTGGGGGGTCCACCACTACCCCCATACAGTTAGGGGTCCCCCACGACAGTGATGGGCCCCAACAACCAATAGCTGGCCCTCCTACTACTCTTCAATCAACCCGTCTTCGACTCAAGTTCATTCCATCCAGCGGTCGACCCCCCCAAAGACGCATTCATAAATTTTAAACATGGTGTTCATTTAAAAAAGGGAATTTTCTCAAATATGAATTATTATTATTTTATATTACCATATTTCACGTATTTAGGCACTGGTTAGGTTAGGTGTTTAGGTTCTGTTGGCGATTATTTGTAGTACGTGGGTATGAAGCATTTACAGCGTTGTGGTTCGAACACAATTCGTCAGTGAAGCACTTGTTCCGGAAGTGTTCGGACGTCATCAGTCGTGAGTCGTGTGTAAACCGTTTTTCATTCATAAACAGCGGGGGGAGGGGGGGCAGGGGTTGGCGGGTGGATGGAATCACTTTTGGGTCTGTGTTTGGAGGACGGGCTGCTTCAGTACCACTTCAGTGATGGTGCTGCGTCAGTGTGACCAGTAGCCAGAGTACAGTCAGGTTCGTACACGGCCTGATGCTCTGGCAGGTGTGTTCCCAGGTGTGTGGGGGAGGGTTGTGGGGGGGCGGAGAAGAGGGAACACGAAATCAGAAGAAAAATGTTGATCATAAAGAAAATTCGGTAAAGACGAAAGAATAAAATAAAGACACACACACACACACACACACACACACACACACACACACACACACACACACACACACACACACACACACACACACACACACACACACACACAGGAAATAGCACCAGCGTAATAAACTAATGAAACTGTTAAATTAAGGGCTAACTCACACGCTGCTAAATATATCTACATGTAATTGAGGAGTGAGAGAGCAGGGGGAAGAGGTTAAGACCAATAATGAACGGGTGTTACACAACAGGAAGCTAAAGGAGGGAATAAAGAATATAAATAACGGAGGCTTATGGGAAAACTAAAAAAGGGGAAGAGAGGGTGATAACTGGTCAAGGAAATGAGGAAGACAAATAATGAGGGAGAAAGACGAAGCTAATCCACACACACAGCTCCTCGTCCCTCACTCTCACACACAGCCACACCCGTCACCCAGCCACACCCGTCACCCAGCCACACCTGTCACCCAGCCACACCCGTCACACAGCCACACCTGTCACCTAGCCACTAACTACTCCAACATAACTAACCACCTCTCCTACGTCTTTGTTGTTTCTCATCATTAATTTGCCTACTCCCCTTCCTACGTCCCCATTAACTTGCCTACTCCTCCCCCTATCTCCCCATTAGCTTGCCTACGCCCTTCCCTCCCTCCCTGCCTCCCTGCCTGCCCGTGTATACAACCTGGAGTCACTGCTCCCTAACGTCACCAGGCTCCACTATGGTTCCTCACTAATCAATACTCTCGTCTTCTCTCTCACTTGATCTGTAATGGTTCTTGTGTAGTGACGGTCATGTGGGTAGTGGTGGTGGTGGTGACTGTGGTGGTGGTGAGTGACTGTGGTGGTGGTGGTGAGTGACTGTGGTGGTGGTGAGTGTCTGTGGTGGTGGTGAGTGACTGTGATGATGAATGGTGGTGACTGTGGTGATGGTGGTGGTGATGGTGGCAGTCGATGACTGTGATGGTTAACTTTCCTAAATTGTGTAGATACCTCCTGGTATCCTCCCTTACCCATTTTCATTACCTTCACTTGCGTGAAATTAATTCTAACAGCCATCTGTCTGGCCATTCCCGGAGTTTGTCAAGAACCTCTTGTTTTCCTGCGGTCCCCATTGGGTTTACACTCCTCGATAACTTTGCGTCATCTCAATAATTTCTGCAAATATTGAGATGTTCGAGCTAATTACCTCTAGTGGATCATTCGCATGAAACAGCGATGGTGCCAAGACTAAGCTCTGGGGACCCAGTTGTCGCCTTTCGGGAGACAGTATCACGTGGTGGAGGTGGGGTCCCTCCATTGTTTCAAACGCGGGTTGGACATGTATATGAGTGGGATTGGGTGGTTATAAATAGGAGCTGCCTCGTATGGGCCAACAGGCCTTCTGCAGTTACCTTTGTTCTTATGTTATGTAAATGCCTTGTGACAATCAAGCAAGATACAGTCTACCCGACAATCAAGCAAGATACAGTCTACCCGACAATCAAGCAAGATACAGTCTACCCAACCAATATTTGTAAGTCGTATTCTGGAAACCTTGTCACAGGTTTGTTTGTGATGTGTGTATATGTATGTATTAACACCATGTACTGAACGGGGTGAGAATAGCTTGAGCTACCTCATCCCTTTGTGTGTATTTTACCTCAATAAACTTATTTCAATTGTCACAGGACTCAGTTAAGTTTTTCAGGGATGACTGTCCTCCTCTGAATGCACTTCGCCTCTTTTCTTAGCAAGTTTGTGCTCTCCAGACGGTCAAGTCTATTCACCCCATTACCTTCTCCACAGCACTCTGCACCAATACTTGCCACCCCTCACTGCTCTATCACTTAGTGCCTTCTCCACAACACTCTGCACCAATACTTGCCACCCCTCACTGCTCTATCACTTAGTGCCTTCTCCACAACACTCTGCACCAATACTTGCCACCCTCACTGCTCTATCACTTAGTGCCTTCTCCACAGCACTCTGCACCAATACTTGCCACCCTCACTGCTCTATCACTTAGTGCCTTCTCCACAGCACTCTGCACCAATACTTGCCACCCTCACTGCTCTATCACTTAGTGCCTTCTCCACAACACTCTGCACCAATACTTGCCACCCTCACTGCTCTATCACTTAGTGCCTTCTCCACAGCACTCTGCACCAATACTTGCCACCCCTCACTGCTCTATCACTTAGTGCCTTCTCCACAACACTCTGCACCAATACTTGCCACCCCTCACTGCTCTATCACTTAGTGCCTTCTCCACAACACTCTG